GGAAATAAGTTTTCTCTGTTAAAACAGACCAACTCCGACCACCCTGTACAAAAAAGCTAGATATTGTTGTTGTCTAGAGACTTCTGATGCACGCTCAGCCTGGGACACCCAGTATATGTGCACTTGTCCTAAGACCCAATCGATAATATATTTCAGGAATACCGATTTTAAATATATTTGGTAACGAAACCCAAAAAAATTCCGTTTTTTTTCCTTATCGTTCCACATGCCCAAAACGTGAGATGGTAATGGTTCTCCTATCTGCAAATGTTTTTTATTATGTTTAATCACCATAACTATATCTGCCAAATTAAAAAGCATTTATTCACTAACGTATCACTGACGGTTTCATAATGTAATTTGATAATTAATATCGTAATCGATTGATTAATTAAATGAGCACTTGTTTTGAACGACTAAAATAGAACTTATTATCGCTCGGATGTAATAATAGTTGCAATTATTACAATATATTATTTTAGTATAGGACATAGAACCATAAAATAATAAATACAAGAAGAAGTGTCAAGTCAATGTTAAATTATGGAAACAGCGTGGCTGCCTGGGTAACTAATTTTCAGATATGGCGGCTGGGACATTTGACATGACTATGACATGACATAGACATGACAATTTCAATTTTATGAAATTTATTTCCGTTTCCGGTTTTTAATGGCGGGCTGTTCGGGAGGTTTAAATGAGGGTTAATATACTTTTTACTCTTTCTAGTAGTAAATAATACAACAAAATTACTCAAAAATATTTATTTGGAATTTAGAACAATGTAAATATGCAAATCAACACAATTAAAGAGCTATAAACCAATAAACTACTGTATCAATATTAAATATTTAAATAATATCAGAGATGCTGTGTTAAAGCGAATTAGTAAAGTAACAGTGCATTGACTTACAGAAACTTGAAGATAAATAAATGTTTTCACAGCTTCACGGATAAATAACTGGAAGCAGGAAAAAGGCAACCGGAACCCACACAAAACCTGGAATCAAAAAAAATATGTAAAAAACATAAATATAGGTACATAAAACTTTTGTGAATTAAATCAAACAGGACTTGAATGAAAATAAAATGAATCAAAAATATTATACATATACATCTAATACCTCATTTGTATTTTAAAAATAATCTACATACATAGATTTATAGCATTATTGCTATGAAAATACATAATAGGTACCTATGTGATATGTAATTACGCATTTCTGTTCATGTTGTAGAAAATTAATGTAGGCTAATAATAGTTCAATAATCATAATTTACCTTGTATAACTTGCTTTCAATTGCTCAAAATCACCGATCAGTCTTTAAAGTAGAGATACGGAAAAATCCTTGCCAAAGAATATCCCAAGATCCTTGGGTTTAAAGCTAAAAAAATATAAAAACAGTTAATATATTACCTATTTTTACATATATAATATGGCCCATACCTATTACACGCAGAAACGTCGATTTCATCATTTTCTTCATGTAATTAATATCATATATACTTTATTAAAGTGTTAACAAGGAACTTTATATCAAAAAACATCTTTGTACTTATAAATTTCAGCCGAAATATCATAAACAAACTTCCAATCAAATCTAAACGGCAAAAATTAAAATGGCGCTCGACCTTGCCAGAGGCCTCGGAGCTGACGCTGACACACAGACAAAAGACAAAAGAAGAGGACGCCGACGTGCATAAAAAATGTTCCGTAGCAGAAATTGACAGAAATCATATAGAAATATTCAGATTTTTGTCTAGGACAGTCTAGAAGGCCATGCTTTCTGCCTGGGTAGAACCGCGCCAGAACTGTTTCCAATTTTCCGGTTTACTGTCACCCCCCTGCATAGAACTACTACGTATGTTTGGAATCATTATGCTTATTTGCTTGTTTTAAGTCGAACCTTACCTATGTATTTTAAATCTTTTATATTGTGTAGGTTGTTTCAAAAAACATATACCATCTCTCGTGGGGAGATGCCTCACGTAAAAATAAGATTTATTTTTCATATCAACATAGGTCCGGTTCTGTTTTGTTTCGTAGCTACAGGGTGTTAAAGTCTTAATGATCTTTCGATTTATTATAATTTTCTTCCAAGTGCTTTTAACGATTCGAATAAAATTTGGAGGGAAAAAGTTACTATAACTGCGACATATTTTAATGCCCAAAAAGTGTCGACGTATTCACCAGAGACGTGTATATGGTTATCACTGGAATATTTTTCTAAAAAAATATATCCTGTAGCTACGAAACAACTCAGGATTAGGCCCATGTTGATATGAAAAATAAATCTTATTTTTACGTGAGGTGGCACATGTTTTTTGAAACACCTTGTAGAAATCTACCGTTACAGTTTAATCACCGCTTACAGAATAACATAGCTTTGACACTCGCCAATTTTTCCCACGCTCGAATTTAAAACGCCCCACTCCGACGATGCGCTAACTGAATTAAGCGACCAACAGTCAGCCTCATTCAGTCGATGCATAGCCTCCACCGGTGGCGCGTAGGGCCGTATTACGGAAGATTTTAATTCGATTTTTTTTCTTATATTTAACCATAGGTATTTGTGCTTTTATTTCAATTTTATTTTTATTGATGGAATGGGAAAAGGTTTTCCGGGATGTGCGGCTGCTGGTTGCACAAATAATTATGGAAATAATTCAAAATATAGTCTGTTTAATTTTCAATTCAATTCAAAATTAATGTTCAATTCAAAAGTATATTCACACTTTAGTGCTTTTCAAAACGATGAAGACTACTTATTTGGAGGCTTGCTAATGCCAAGTGACCATTTTTTTATTTAGTTTCCTCATTGGAGGCTAGTTTTATAAGCTTTTATTTAACTTGCTTTGTATGTAACTATCTATGTATGTATGTATGTTTGTTCGGGGCAAATCTTGTAAGCTAAATTAAAACCACTTTCTTTTATTGTAGGAGATTGAAATTTGGCATGTAGGTTCAGTCCCGATGATAATACATTTTTTTGCAAGGCATGACCCGAATTTTTGACAGCTGTCAAAATGGCGGCATTTTTGAGGTTTTTGATTTTTTAAAATTCTATTTATGAATGGATCGGGCTGAAATTTATATATATATATATATATATATATATATATATATATATATATATATATATATATATATATATATATATATATATATATATATATATATATATATATATATACAGGTTGTTAACTCGACAGTTACTTATAGGGAAACAGAATGGCAACACTGCCTATTGAGAACGTATGCATTATTGATTTTTTCTGCCGACTCGTCCCGTCGCGTCGTCTATCGACGAGCGGGCCGAGGTTATTTCAACCATAAAACTCTTGCCGCGAGTAATGAACAATTTAACAACCTGTATAGGTATATTGTGGGTATATACATATGAAAAAAATATATGGGCGGCCATCTTGAAAAAATGACAGTTTAATGACATGTCAAAATTTCAAAGTCAACCGATTTTCATAAAAATTGATATATAGGATGGCCATGGGCTAAAATGAAAGAAAAAAAATTTGAGCTGTCAAATTTGACAGCTGTCAAAAAAATTTCAAAGTTGTCCGATTTTGATAAAAATTGATATATAGGACGGCCATGGGCGAAAATGAAAAAAAAAACGTTGAGCTGTCAAATGTGACAGCTGTCAAATAATTTCAAATTTGTCCGATTTTGATAAAAATCGATATATTGGATGCCCCCTATCCCATAGTCGGTTTTCATTTTATTTGTCTCACATTTGAACTGTCAAATTTGACAGCTGTCGTTTTTTTTAAGTTTTCCTTTTTTAATGAAAATCGATATACATATTATTAGGATACCCATAGAAAGTTATTTAAGAAAAAAAAATTGAGTTTAAGTGTGTGGCACTGAGAAACAAGCATAACTAAAAAGTAGATGATAAATTTTATAAAAAAACCTTTTTTAAAAACAAGCTTTTATTTAAATACACTAAAAAGAATAAAATAAACTCTTTTTCTTTAAAACTTTTATTATAAACTTAGAACGTCATTACACAATTTTAATATTAGATATATAAAAGCTTGTCGCGAGATTTCTCTACATCGATAAACAAGTAAATTAACTAAAACCTGTGTCTACCCTGTCTCATTCTCAAAGTTTCTGTTATGATAGACCACTAGACCAGGAATTACAAGATAAAGTTGTCGTACCAGATTTTTATGAGTGCAAATGTACACTCAAATCTCGCGACAAGCTTTTATATAATATTAAAATTGTGTAATGACGTTATAAGTTCATAATAAAAGTTCTAAAGAAAAAGTTTATTTTATTCTTTTTAGTGTATTTAAATAAAAACTTGTTTTTAAAAAAGTTTTTTTATAAAATTTTTCAGAACAATTTTGAAGAACTTTTCTTAAATGAAAATATATTATGTAAATTCGTTAAATTATTTCAGACAATTAAATTCAACCATCAATCAAAATTTTCCTATAATGTATTTTTTGTTAAATTTATACGCAAAAGTTAGAAATTATTATACCTTAAAGAATATTAATAAGAACTTAAATGTAGCAAACAAAAACCGAAAGCTCCTAATTTAAAAACATTCGTAAATAACTATAAGTAATCAATGTACCTATTTCATTTTGCTGTTATTTCTAGAAATAAATTAATTAATTTGTTTTTTAAATGTTTTTCTTTGAGAATGCATATTTATTTAAAGTCAACAATTTAAAAAAAATGTATCTAAATTATGTTCTAGCACCAGTCGAATAATTTTTTACGTCACGTGTAAAATTTTTTTGAATACATCTCTGGGCTGACTGGTGCTTACGCGGCTATTGGTTTGGGCGAGAGAGCTCGCCGCTCCAGTGTTCCCCCTCTTTCGAATCGCAAATCCGAGCGTAAAAAGATCAAAGCGGCACGCTACACTGTCCGAGCTGGTTTTTACTTAAGCTGTGGTTTAATCACAGTAGAAATGTTTATTTACAAATTCCAAAACATAGTTTTTATTTATTTTTTCAGATGCAAGCATTTTTCCTGGTGACTGATGACATCATGGACAAGTCAGAAACGCGCAGGGGTCAGCCATGTTGGTATCGCCAGCCGGGAGTTGGTCTAAACGCATTTAACGATGGTATTATGATGCAAAGTGGAATATTTGCAATACTCAAAAAGTGAGTAAGCGTTTTGTATATCAAATCCAATATTGTATATTTATTTTTTTTTATTTCAGATACTTCAGGTACCACCCTGCCTACGTCCCAATAATGGAATTATTCCACGACGTCATGTTAAAGACCAGCTATGGTCAAAGCTTGGACACTATGTGTCTAGATGAGAATGGCAAACCTCGACTGGAAGAGTTCACCATGAAGAGGTATACACGATTATGTTTTGTACTTAAAATCTGTCTGACCATAGAATACATAACAGTAACAGTTGTGCTCTGTCATTTTTACTTATTGGACAGGCTTTACGTAGTTTTTAAAACAACAGTACGCTCAAAAGCCGGCAACGCCGCGCAAAATCTATGGTATCGTGGATTCAACCTACCTGATTGATGGAGATTCTCGCGCGTTTCGTTGCCATGCGCATAAAGTTTTTCTATTGGCCAGTGCTACCCACAATTTTACACTCCACCCTGGGTTTAGTAGAAATTTTGACTATAGACAAATTAATAAAAAATTAGAACTTTTTGACAAATCAATAAAGCTGTCTCTTTAGTTGTCACTTTTGAGTCAATATTTTTTAATTCTCTTTCGTGTCGATTGCTGATTGAATTGGAACCAGGAATGGCTCAAAACGAAATAAGTAAATTACCAACAGATATTCAGGCTGAGGCGGCAAACGCCATATCCAAACTACTTCCATTTAAATCTCGAATAACTTATGAAAAATTTTAATTTAGGAATACAAAAATTTTCAAAAATGGAAGCAATTAAAAAACGTGCGAGAAGAAATAAAGTTTTTAACCTATCCTCGCTGTTAAAGTACTATTTTATCTACTATTTTTGATAGACGTATAACTTTTCTATTTTTTCAGATAAATAAACGAGATTTGGTATCTTAGTATATGACATAAATTAAGATTGATTGGTGTATTCAATTGTTTTTGGTCACTTCCTGTTTCACCGGAAATGACTACAACTTTTCATTTTTAAATAGCACCCTCGATATTTTTTTACTTTATTCGATAGAAAATGACATTCTGAATAGAATGACATATCATATGTCAACTTTTGACATTCTCACTTAATAAAAAAATTGTATTTTAAAATTCAATCTAGAGTGCCATGGTTATGTTAAAAACACTAATTTTTCATCAAGGAACCTTGGGAAAATAGATTTAATCGTCTAATGTTTTTAGCGTCTTGTCCTGGCCAGTTAGAAAATGCTTAGATCGTATTTTTAAGCATATCTCAATTTTTTCAAAAGGAACGAGGGTGTTTCATTAGCATATTTGGAAAAAGCATTTTTTTTGCGAATAATTTGATACCAAACACTTGGTATTTCAAGTCAAATTTTCGTTACGAACCGCAAGTTATAATTTCAAATAAACCATATGCGGAAATGTCAAAAGTTGACACATGATATGTCATTCTATTCAGAGTGACATTCTCTATCGAATTAAGTAAAAATTACAGGGAGTACCATTCAAAAATCAAAAGTTGTAGTCATTTCCGGTGAAACCGGAAGTGATCGAAAACAATTGAATACGTCAATCAATCCTAATTTATGTCATATACCAACATACCAAATCTCGTTTTTTAACTAAAAATATAAAAAAAAGTTATAGGGGTGAGCCGCTTTTGAGACGCACCCGGTATAAGGCAATTTTAACAGTTGCTATGGAAAAAAAATTATTCTTTCAATTCCTAAATATCAGATAAGGATATTTTAGTGAGTTTTTTAGTATATAATAGTAATATTATATTTATTGTAAATATTGAAACATCTATTTTAGTTCATTAATGAATAATATTTTCTGTTCAATACCTTTGTTATTACATGCCCCTACGGTTTTTAATTTTCATTAATAATTATGAATATTTTATTTTAAAGATTTTTTTAGTTTATTAATAAGCATTTATTTTATAGTAGATATTAATTTGTTTCAGGTACATGTCATTAGTGAAATATAAGACTGCTTATTATAGTTTTCAAATGCCTATCGCCTTAGCTATGTATTTAGCTAACATGTTCGATGAAGAACAACACAGGCAGGCCAAAACTATATTATTAGAGATGGGTCAATTTTTCCAAATTCAGGTAATTATTCATATTTCTCTATACAGGGTTGTTCACCACATACGACACGGAGTATTGTAGCTAAACGATTAGATTTTTACAAATTGTAAGTTTTGGGTTCGTTGAAGGACTATTAGAGCTATAATTTAAAAATATTTTTACAAGATACACAGTGTCCCAACAAACCTTACCGTTTTTGAAATATTTTCAATTTTGTGAAATTGCAGTCAACATTTTAAGGCTTCATTTCTCCAAGGGTATCAAAGTTTTTAATACTAAATATTTACTGAAGTTTATTTATTGATCAGTTATTGTGTTGCAATAATAAAAATTATACTACCTTACACAGAGTGTCTAAAATTTTATTTTAAATAATTACTAGCTTTAAACGGCAATAACTTGTTTAATTTAAATAGAACACCCTGTATATTTTATGAGAATCAGATGCACAATTTAATTGTCTATCAAATTGGTTTATATCAATTTTACCTATTTCTTCAAGTTTCCGTAGAAAATGCATTTTCTTGTAATTTAAAACTCATTTATCAATATACCCATGGAATACTGACATTTTAGATTATTTTTACAGATGTACCAAATTTTTAAAGAGTACAGATACTAATATTGTCGATATAGTTTGTTTATTTCATTATAAAATAAAAAAAAAACTGTTTAAATATTTGTTAAAGAGGACCAATTAATATGATTCCAGTATTCAAACTACATTAACTGACTGTTTGGGTTGATTAATAATAATTGCTCCAAATACTAAAAAACTGAATTTTGTATGTGTATTAGACGGTGTAGTAAAAAGTAACACCTTAAAAATGTTATTCAATTTTTTGACAAATGCCTATTTATAACAACAGAGACATTCATTTTCATAACTTATTATTATATTGATTTCTGATTCAAATCCACATTTATTTAGAATAATTTATTAACGAACATAATTAAGTATGTAATTAATTAGTATTTGGACGGAAATAATGGTGGTATATTTAATTAATGGTATATTTTTTATAAAGATTTAAATAGTTTTCTTTTTGCATACAAATGGGCTAGTAATATTATCATTTTGCTAAAAACGATAATATTACTAGCTTGTACATTTTGTACATTTGTTGCTTTAAAAACAATCTGAAATGTCAATATTCCATGGGTATATTGATAAATGAGGTCTAAATTATAAGAAAATGCATTTTCTACGAAAACTTGAAGGGATAGGTAAAAGTGGTATAATACAATTTGATAGACAATTAAATTTTGCATCTGATTCTCCTAAAATATACAGGGCGTTCCATTTAAATTAAACAAGTTATTGCCGTTTAAAGCTAAAAATAATTTAAAATAAATTTTTAGACACTCTGTATGAGGTAGTATTATTTTTGTTATTGCAACACAATAACAGATCAATAAATAGACTTCAGTAAATATTTAGTATTAAACACTTTGATATCCTCGGAGAAATAAAGCCTTAAAATTTTTACTGCAATTTCACAAAATTGAAAATATTTCAAAAACGGTAAGGTTTAAGTGTAATAAACCTTATTCAAATTTACCTTTATTTTAATCGTAGAAACTAAAAATGTAATAATATACATGGTATTCCATTTAAAAAAATACAACTTTGATATTTTTTATTTATTTGGGACACTCTGTATCTTGTAAAAATATTTTTAAATTGTAGCTCTAGTAGTCCTTCAACGAACCCAAAACTTATAATTTGTAAAAATCTAATCATTTAGCTACAATACTCCGTGTCGTATGTGGTGAACAACCCTGTATAGATCATACCAAATAAACTTTTAGTCACGTGATTAAGCTTGACCGGCACAGCGTTGCCATCTTTTACATATTTTCTTTTAATCAAAATATTTTAGGAAACAAAAATAAATTAATTATAAATATATAAACAGTTATTATTTACATCAACAAAACCCACCTCCTTAACAGCACTTAAGGGACATAAAGGGCCATTACTACCGCTTTCCCGTTCAAAATATTTTAATAAGGTTACGATGAGTTTTTTGCAACGGCTATTAAGCTATCTTGTACTCTTCGCACTAAAAGAGGTTCCAAAAAGAACAATGTTCGACTGCAAGGTCTGCTAGTAAAAAATTTGAAGCTTAAAGTATCACAACACAATTCAATTAAACCAAAAACTAATATTACAATACTAAAGTGTCAAAACAAATGACATTCTCAGGAAATAAATAAATACTTAGACAAGGAAAGAGAGGGGACAGGTAACACGGCAGCTGAAAGTGAGGCAAGTTGTCACCACGCGAAATTCTCCAATGGCGTAGCATCAGAAATTAGCTTGTACCTAGACGGTACAAAATATTTATTAAAACGTAAATTAATATATTGTTCATTTTTGAGTAATGCATATACAATTTTGTATTTTATTGTCTCACCTTTATAATATTAGAATATCTAAGTCGATAATACAAAATTTATTTAACAGTCACAGTGGACTGATTATCAAGACAATTATTTATTTATTAACGTGTGTATAATGTATAATTAAATAAAAAATAACGTAATAACATATGTTTTAAACGTGTATATACATATATACTGTATGATCAAAAAAAACGGCGTCTTGTTTGTTTGGAAATGACAATTTCACAAATGAATATTAAAAATTACATTATTCATTGAATCCGTGAGCAAGTGTGAAGGGAATTGACTAGATTCATTATTATACCGTATAATCGAAAAAAAAAACGACGTCCAGTTGGCTTGTAAATTACGATCGATGATATACCCCATATAAAATGACAAAAAAAACTATACAAAACGACATCGAAAAAAGACGGCGTCAGCGATAGCTATAAAATGAAGATCGCTGTCATTTTATATGTAAAATTATATGGGGAATGTCGTCGATCGTCATTTACAAGCCAACTGGACGTCGTTTTTTTTCGACCATACGGTATAATAATTAATCTAGCCATTCCCCTTCACGCTTGCGTACTAATTCAATGAATAATGTAATATTCATTACCTTCAATCATAAGAATATCCTAATTTTCCACAAAAAAATAAACAATTCTAGAAGCTTTGTGTTATTTTATTTATTTTTAAATTTTTATTAATTACTCACTGAGACTATTATTATACACCTAAATTAGCAAATTTTTAAAAAAATATATGTAGTAACAAGTAGCCCACCACAAGTTTGTCCACCCCGAGCAAATCTTGGCAGGTAAATTTAAGTTTTATATGTATAACAACTATACATATAGATTTTTTATCACTAGAATTTTTAATTTTTTTTATAGTTTACAATTATTTTTCATATTTGATAACAATACTTTATACATTTTACACAGAAATTGTATTTCTCTGATTATAATTCCCTACGCCACTGGAGAAATTCATGCTGAGTAGCATTATTTATAGTTTCAAACATTAATTATAATAAAGGATATTGAAAATACTACTTGGAATTATTAAAAATAGTTTGGTTTGGATGTGGTACAAAACATATTAAAAGCATTTTACATATTTTTACTGCTATAATGAAAAAATGTACATTTTATGACCACATAACAAAAGTTGTGTATCGATTTCCTGTGAAATGTAATTCCAGCCACTTTTTTCTCGCTTCGGCCTTTGCAGCCATACGCTTAACATCTCACCATACTAAACAATACAGTTTATAAATTTAAAACAAAACAGTTGTCACAAAAAACATAAAAATTCGCTCGGTGTCACCTCGAAATCTTGTCACCAAAGTATGGCCGCCGATCGAATTTTGGCCTCACTAACCGATCACGGGAGAATATGCATGTTAGCTGTCCCCTCTCTTTCCTTGTCGAAGAATAAATAAATGTAACAACTTGACATTTTTTACAGCAGAGCTACCACCTGAATCCCCAGCGGGAAATTTAAATTTCAGTTAGTCTGCCCCGCGCCGCGCCGCCGGCGTCGAATAGTATGTCCATAGTTGGCAACAATGAATTTAAAAATCGCGCCCTTGATTACGTAATTAAAAGTTTAATTTATCTTGCTTATAAATACACATTAATTTTACACTAATCCTTTTTCCTTAATGTCATCACCATATAGGTATTTATATTTGTTGAAATAAATTTATTACAAAAGATTTTTATTCACAAATAACTAACTGTACTGCAAGAAAAACAAAAATGTTTCAAAATTTTCCAATCACGAATAATTCTTGTCAAGATAATCGCATTATGAAATATATTTTGACAATATGTATGAATGAAAAATTAATTACATGGTTTATTTTTAGTACGCTAGAGTTTAAATTAATTATTGATAAACGTAAAACGTACAGGGTGACACAGTGTTTCGAAACAGTTATAATTCAGATCTTCTATTTGTTTTTTTTTACTGCAATATTTTTTAAGAAAATATGCAGGAAATAAGGAGTATATAGCGATCATTCTATTTGAAGCACATCAGGAATTTGCCATTTTCGAAGTGAAACTTCTTTCGTGCGCTGGGAGTAAAATAAGTAATCATGGGTCTTACTATCATGGTATACATCCAGCGCAAAATGTTAGGGGAGCAGCCCCATCTATTTCCGGCCAGTCTTCTGCATATCATGAGAGCCTTTAGACCATTGGTATCACGGAAACCGTTTTTCGAAAAGATAACAAGATAAAATCATTAGATATGTGTCTGAGCATCTGAAATGGAATTTTAAGGATATCGTTAGGCTTTCCATTTTTTTATAACGAGAAAACGTCAGTAATCGCGATAATTTAAAACTCTACTATTACATAACACGCCATAACTTAAGAACCACTTTAGAAACTTTTTTTTTATTTTGAAGATCGGATCTTTTACAATATGTTGTTTATATGAAAAATTCGACAAGGTTGCTCTTTTCCATTCAAAAATCTTAAATAACCCATCCATTTACTTTTAGTGCATAGCAATTTTCAGCAATCGTGTAACTTTTTTATTTATAAAGATTTTCACATACTGTCTGCGAAGAAAATATAGCAAAAATATTAAGAAAAATCTGGTATATCCCCTTCCAGGTCTGTTAGCAATGTGTACAGTTTCTCGGTTTATTTCATACGTTTGGCAACGTTTTACTGTTCTCTCTTTGTTCAGTACATTATAAACGCATTGTACTCTTCTTACATACGGAAATCTCGACCCACTAACCTTTGCCAGCCCTTAGCATATTATAAACAGTGATGACGTCACGTTGAGCGATGATGGTTGTACTGACTTTATCAGAAATATTTATTTTTGTAGGATGATTTTCTGGATTGTTTTGGAGATCCATCCGTAACCGGTAAAAAAGGAACTGATATTCAAGATGGCAAATGTAGTTGGTTGGCAGTGGTAGCTCTCCAAAGAGCCACACCAGATCAACGCAAAATAATGGAGGAACATTATGGCAGGTCAGTATCATTTTTTAGCAGATACGTCTATTATAAACCGTTGACTAACACCAGTTAACATTTCAAACCTCTATAGCCAGCTTTATTTATTTACTTACCAGAATTATTATGTTTCAGGTCTGAACCAGAATCGGTAGAAACGATTCGACGACTCTACGAGGAACTGTGCCTGCCAAACACCTACGCCATCTACGAGGAAGAAAGCTACAATATCATTAAGACGCACATCCAACAGATTTCGAAAGGACTGCGCCACGATATGTTCTTTAAAATTATGGAGAAAATATACAAACGCGAATGTTAGATTGTAACGGTACCTGCAAATTTAATTATACAATACGTAATTATAGTTTAGGTGTAAGGAATCTATGTTTTCTTTTTATATCGGATATTATTTTGCTATGTAAGTATTTCGACTTTAATAACTGCAAATATATTGGTATTTATGGAATGTAAAGACGTTTTATTTGATTAGTCATATGATTAATTTACACACACCGGAAAAGTCTAGGGATATTACAATTTTATCCAGCCATCGTCAGTAATTTTATTATTTGCATTTCTGATATAATAAAATTAAAATAAACAAATAGTTTACAGACGTATTGGAAATAAAATTGCGAAATTTACCGAATTTTTCAAATTTACCTTGATTTTTATTGAACTCTAAACTTCTAAACTGTGAATTAAAAAAAAAAGATAAAACCATTTTTACCTCCTGATTAGGTTGTCGATCTCTTCTTCAGGTACAGCCTGCCACGCTGCATTCACGGCCCGAACCAGATCCCTACGAGTTTCACGAGGCATACCCATTCTCAAAATTCTTCTTTGGACCGCGTCCCATACGTGCTCGATGGGGTTGAGGTCAGGAGATTGTGCTGGCCAGGGTAAAATGTTTAATTGATGAGCATTGATAAACTCACTTACCATTCTGGCTGAATGAGGCCGTGCATTGTCATGCATGAGAATGAAGTTTCTCCCAAAATCATTGGCATATGGTAACACGACAGGCTCAAGAATTAAATCACGATATGTGATTCCTGTTAGAAACCTTTCAAGAAAAACGAGATCGGTTTTTCGGCCTAACCGGACTCCTCCCCAGACCATAACTGTTCCACCTTGATAAGGGTGCACTTCCTGAACATGATCCAACTGAATAAGATTTCCCGGTTCTCTCCATACCCTAAGCCTTCTTGAATCCGAATTAATTCCAAAGCGTGATTCATCCGTGAAGAGAACATTGGCCCATTGTTCATTCGATCACTGAACATGATCTTAAGCCCACAAATATCGTACCTCTCGATTTCCTCTCGTTAAGGGTTGAGCTCTCGAGGGGCGTCTGCTTCTTAAGTTGACCTCTCTTAATCTATTGCGAACAGTGTCAGGACTAACGGTTACATTATGTGTTTTCCCGGAGAATTAAACTAAGCTCTGGTGCTGTAAGAGTCGGTCGACGTCGAGCATTTAATTGTAAAAATGATCTTGCTGAGGGGTAGTAATGCGATGTCGCCCTGTGTGCCTTTCAGCAACATCACCACTTTCACGGTAGCGTGCACTTAATCGCGATATTACACTTTGCGTTGTATTTAATGCTCTAGCTACGTCGATTTGGCGCATTCCAGCTTCGAGCATACCCATGGCCCTTAGCATTTCGTCTCTGTTAAGATGTCTACGCTCCATAATGTCGTTTAATACTAAACAGAGTTATTTGAATGAATTCTGGCCAGTTATCATAAAAACATAGTCAGTACAGGTTAAATTCGAACAATTGATGCTAGGTGCTTTTTATACATTTGACAAAAAATGCACAAACACTTCTGCAAATATCCCAAATTTAGAAATAACTAGTGTGACTACTTCGTTTTAATCGAAGTAGAAAGAATCGGCCTACAAATATGTGGTTGTTTATTCAAAACATTTATTTTTAACTTTAATAAAGTAGATATCCCTAGATTTTCCCGGTGTGTGTACATAAAGAATCTTCTGTTTCATTATGACCCCGTCTTACTTACAAGTCAAGGAAAACTCATTAAATTTTATAGAAGAGTGACAAGGCTCTAAAAAATATTTAATAATACATACTATTAGATATTTATTTAAGTTAGATTTAAGAACTACTTTAACAATAATTATTGCCTAACTACATTAACAATTATCACTTCTGGCGGAAGTAGGTACACTCTTATTTATTTAATCATACTTTTCGGAAACTTCTTTAGTTTTGCCATTGGTTTTGAATGAAACATGCCATACGATCGGAAAAAAGAGTATCATAGTGGTCTTTAAAATAACAATTGTTAATAATTTCTGTCGGGCCAATCACCTATATACATATGTCATTTATTAAAAATTGTTGAAAATTAATCTTTAAAGAAAAAGGACCTGACAGAAATTATCATCATTTGTTATTTCATGGCTACTACGACGCCGTTTCTTTAATAAAATATACTTGCCTTTCTATTTTCACAATAGTGTTTAATTTAATATGCCCGAAAAATAGAAAAACAAGAAGTGTTTAATTCTTATAAAGAATAAAGTTTTATATTAAATAATTATAATAATATCAATAGAGAATAAAATATGAATAATTCTTATACAAATATTGTTAAGATATAAACCCTGCATATTAATATTTGCTTCTAATAAGTATCTAAGTAACTAAAAAGAAAAAAATCACTGTATTTGGCTTTATATAGTCGTTGTCGTATGTCCGGTGCAATAAAAGTACAGTATAATCAAAAATACTTAAAGGCAAGAATCTTCAAATGTTTTTCTACCGTTCGTTCACAAAATTTTTGTTAACGTTCAAAAAATTGACAAGAAACAATAGTTAAATGTGAAATTTATATAGTTTTTTAAAATTATGAAGCTGAAAAATTCATAAATCTTGAATTTAATTGATTGCATTTTTAAGCCTGCTCGACTTTTAGATGTTTGATCATACCTTACTTCTATCATTTATTAAATGGTGTTGTCGATTCTATTCCATTTCGTCACGTGACATGCGGAATCTCGCAAAATCTTCAAACACGATGTTGTCATCGTCATCATTATCATAGCGACCACTAAAAAAGAAACAAACTATATATTATTGCCTATTAACATACTATATTATAGGTGTGTTTCTATTTAATAAACTGTTATTTCGGAATAACAGTTTCCAACAGTGTTATTCTCTAAAACTATCTATATTATATTTTATATATATTTTTTTTTATATTATATTTTATTATATGTATCTACATATAATAAAAGAATAGAGGTCGAGAAGCGTGTTTATATTTAATAAACTGTTATTTCGTGACTGTCTTTTGGAATAACACTTCCCAACAGTACTTACTCCTGAAAAATTAATACATATAGTGAAGTAATAGAGGCCAAGAAGCGGGTTTCTATTTAATAAACTGTTATTTGATAACTGTTATTTCGAAATAACAGTTTCCTCCCGTAGTTACTTCCGAAAAATCAATACATATAATAAAGTAATAGACATAAAGAGGTGTTTTTATTTAGGCTGTACTTTAACTGCCGTTAAACGGTAGCTTACTAAAATGCCATTAATAGGTATTACGTCGTTGATGTGACGCACTTGACGGCTTTATGAAATATAGAAATTTTATAAGGACTAACCAACGCTATCCACCCCACCAAATAACCAACTTAATCAACGCAACTAACCTCGACACTGATAAAAAATATAAAAAACAAATATAAATTAGTAAAAATCAACCAACCCCACCAAACAACCAACTAACCAATGAATTAACATCCTCCAAATAACCACGCTAACCAACCCGCCAAATAACTAAACCAATCCAACTAAAAAGAGTGAAACCAATGCAATAAGATCACGCTATAAGCAAAAAAAAAATATAAAAAAGTCTTGGTCGGCATGAGATTTGAACCACGGACCATTCGCTTACGAAGCGATAGCCTCAGCCACTGACCCACAGGTGCTCTTGTAGAATGCTTAAGGCTAGGCATTACTTTCCGCCGACATGAACGACGTCACAATATCTATTAACGGCATTTTAGTAGGCTACCGTTTAACGGCTGTTTAAGTACATCGTTTTATTTAATAAATTGTTATTTCATAACTGTTATTTTGAAATAACAGTTTCCAACAATAGTTACTACTCAAAAATAAATACAACATATAATACAGAGATAGAAGTCGAGAGGTGGGTTTCTAATTAATGAACTGTTATTTCATAACTGTTGTATCGGAATAACAGCTTCCAAGAGTAGTTACTCCTGAAAAATAAATACATATAATGAAGGAATATGGCTAGAGAACCGGGTTTCTCTTTTTAACAAACTGTTATTTCGGAATAACAGTTTCTCCTGAAAAATAAATACACATAATTTTAAGACGGAGAAGTCGAGAGACGGGTTTCTATTTAAAAAATTGTTATTTCACAACTGGTTATTTCGGAATAACAGTTTCCAACCAGTAGTTACTCCTGAAAAATAAATACATATAAAAAGAAATAGAGCTCGTAATAAGGGTTTCTGTTTAATAAACTGTTATTTCATAACTGTTATTTCGAAATAACAGTTTCTATCAGTGTTACTTCTGAAAAAATAAATACATATAATAAAGGAATTGACACCGAGAGGCGGGTTTTTATTTAATAAACTGTTCCATCCGAATAACAGTTTCTAACGGTAGTTTCTCCTACAAAATAAATACACATGATGAAGCAATAGAGGTCGAGAAGATGGGCAGGTAAAAATCTATGTGTAGACGGAGCTTAACAGATAAGTTCTTACCGATCAATGGACTTCATTCGCTTCATAGCAATCGCTTTCTCTTTCTCAACCATACCGGGAGCAGGGTGCAGCAGTTTGAAAGGCACGTCGGTGACCAGTTCACCTCCGAGAGTACCACAGTTGAGCTTCACTCTCAGTGAGTACGATATCACGATACCGATCGCGTCGATTGGGCATTTGCCATCGGGAACCTGAAAACGAGGTGAGAAAATGGTTAAAACACGTAAAAGTTAGCACTGATATATTGCATTAAATGCATTCTACGAATTTATCATACCAGAGTTGAGCTGGCCAAGTTGGCATCGTCATCACGCAGCCTCCCGTCCAATGCCACTCCCCTCCTGTCTTTGTTGGACGCCGCCAGAGGGATGAGATAGATCACTTTGGTGAAACTTGCTCCAGGGGTGATTGGACAGCCTTCGCGCGTCTCTAAACTGGCCACGTACTTGGAGAATTGAGCATTAACCATTGTAACCTAAAAACAGTATCAAAATAAATAAACGAAAGTTAAAATTTTCAAGTCATTTGAATTAGATCCAAATTAGGTAGATTGTTTTAGCATTGATTAATAGTTGTAAAGATTAGTGATGGGTTGTTATTTAACTATCTGTTATTTTATAACAATTATTTAGAAATAACACAACGCAACCGTTACTATTTCTAAAAAATAACAGATATAAAATAACGACACGTAGAGATCGGCCGCTCGTGAAACGAAAAACGAAGTCGGCGCTCTGCACCGCCACGAAATTCTATGCTGATCGAAGCAATTCCAAAAAACAACTAGTATGGATGGAAAACATGTTATTTCGTCAACCATCGATCAGGCGGCGAGACAACGGACAACGGAGTGGGGAATGCGCTACGGCGAACGTAGCTGCTTCGGTCGACGCCGTCGATGGTCGTATTGGGTTTGCAACAGCTTAAAAATAATAGGATATAAAAGAAGCAGGTTTTTTGAAACAGTTGCGGGCATAACGCCTGGCGGTCGAGATAACAGGAGTGGGAAAGGAACGCTGTTGCATCGGTCGATTGTCGATGGAGGCTCGCAACGGGTTGGAGAAGCAGTCATTTTAGATACGTTGCTTTTCAACCTGTTACGAGCATAACAGGACGGCGGTCGAGATAATCGGAGTGGGAAAGGAACGCTGCTGCATCGGTCGATTGTCGATGGAGGTTCGAAACAGGTTGGAGAATAACGCATCAGTTGTTTTAGATATTGTTTTTCAACCTGTTACGAGCATAACGGGCGGAGGTCGAGATATTATGGCGCTGTATGTTTCAGTACGTTATTAAGTTTCAATATTTAGGTGTTTATTTATTCTGAAAAATTTTCAGAATAATATTTTAAGATTTTTTAAAAATGTATACAAGGTGTTTTGAAAAATCTGGTCATTGATTAATCACGATCCTGCTTAAAGCCCCTGACGTAAAAAGCTCATTTTTGGAAAATGGATTGACTTTAGGGTGTAGAGGTTCGATAAGAAGGGATTTTTCGAAACTCGAATTCTAAGGAGGTGAAACCACCCCCAAATATTAGAATATTTTTTATCTAAAAACCGGTGAGTTTTTCGAAAAAACTCTTAACTTGTATATTTTATTTCGTTGTTTTACATATTTTAAGACTTTTTAAAAATATATACAGGGTGTTTCATAAAATATGACCATTGAGTAATCACGATTCTGCTTAAACTGATTGACGTTTAAAGCTGATTTTTGGCAAACGGATTGACTGTGGGGTTGAGGTTCGATAAGGAGGGGTTTCTCGAATCTTAAATTCCAAGAGGGTGAAAACGCCCCTTAAATATTACAATATTTGTTATTTAAAAAACGGTTAGTCTTTCGGGAAAACGCTTGGACACGCATAATTTAATTTTTTTCTACATATTTTGAAATTTTTAAAAAAATCATACAGGGTGTTCCAAAAAGTTGAGTAATTGATTAACCACACGATTCTGCTTAAACTGCTCGACGTTTAAAGCTTATTTTTGGCAAATGTGAGAAAATTTTATCCAGTTTGTATGTTAATTCTTGCTTTGCTTTATCATCACCATTACAAATTATTAATTCGACGCGAACGAAGTCGCGGGTACACGCTAGTTTAAGTGTAAAATTAATTCGAACTCTAGTGTGTAGTTGGTTTACTTATGAAGAATATACTACACATTTTCTTATATTGCTATTTTTTGACCGCAAATGGTAAAATTATAACTAAGAGCTTGTCGCCCGTCGAGTGAGATGCACCCTGTACATTGCTACGCAATTCAGGATCTACGCGGATCGAGGGGCAAGGCGTAGGTAGATCGGAATGTATAGGTATAGACGAGTGACGGAATTTTGGCTTTTTTATATCGCTATTTGTAAACAGCGCTTATTTGTAAACAACCACCGTTTTTAGAGAGGTATTTTAGATAACAATCGATATTTAGAAATGTTTTGACACCCTGGAAATACTACCACCGAGCATGTCATTGTTGTAACTTGCAACTGCGTTAATACGCCTGGCGGTGACCGCCTCATACTCTTTCAGATATTTAGCAATAAAATAAAGAAACCTGTTATTTTTAAGCTGTTATTTTAAGCTGTTTTTTTATAAATAACTATAACAGTTTCAACTGTTATCTAAAAATAACAGTTTTGCCCATCATTATAATTATTACAGAAATCAAGATGACTAATATTGATACTAATAATTTGTAACAAAATTGTTGAATAGGTGCTTAAAGAGGAACAAAATAAAATAATCTGACTTGGTTCTACATCTCACAACTTTTTATAGTGGAAGAATTGCGTTGTAGACGTTTTTTACATTCTATGTTTTTGATGGGATACATTTTATCTTACCTCGCAGTGTTGTACAACATAGGCCTTGATATTTCTCACTTGCTTCCGCGAATTGTTGCTAATCATAATGTTAGCAGCGATTTTCTCGCCGTGATAGTAAATATCCTTATCCAGCGTCACTTCCAAATTGATTTTGCCACTGGAGAAAGTGAAACCTTTCGAGACAAGCGAAGACGGAAGCCTTGTACTTCCGCGCACTGAAAAATATATAATAAACTTACGATAAAATAATACACAATAGAAAAATAAGTTGAGTACCTGCCGGAGCATATTGCAATTTTTTTATTGCCAACTGAACAGTGCTTCTTTTGTGGCCCTTATCTTCTTCATTGTTGCCCACCCAACACTTTACGAAATATTCCACACCAAGTGGTTTGCCTTGGTCATCTTCACCCGCTTGGAGGGTCACCTATGTTTCAAAAAAATCATGATATTTACATTTTTGTACAAACCATTTTTGTGAGAATTATCACAGATTAGGTATACTATATGTATACAGATAAAAATCTTATCCTTAATTCGTGGTACGAAAGTTGTTTTTTATGACGATGTGCAAACGAGTAAAATTTCCTGTGCGCAAAAATAAACTCGCGTAAAATAACAATAAACAGCGTAATAGAGAGATATCGCTAAACCGAATAGCGTGCATGGACGTTGATAAGGCCAGGTGTTATTTCCTTTACGTGAGGTGGTATTAACTCTCTTCATTTATAGTTATCGGATCGGAAAGAATTCTGTTCGCGTCGCGTCCGCTATTTAAACTTAACCTAACTTTGAATTTAAAACTTTGAAATTGGTTTGTTTACTAGGTATTTTAAAACTAAAGGGCTAAAGTGCTTATTTCCAGTGCTTTATTGTTTAACGTCTGCCAGTGGGTTTAGGGCAACAAGCAACAAATTCTCTTAGAAGGGCTAAGTCGTCATCTGCTGTAAACCTAAGCCTCTTTGTAGGTTCTTTAATATTGAAAGAGGTGGAATCCATATTTTGGGCCATATTTATTTAATTAAAACTAATCCCAGCTACTTAAGTATCAAATTACCTAATAAAACTAAAGTAATAATTCAAAACAATTCAAACATAACCTAAAATAAAAGATCTCGCCGGCCGGCCCCGGTTGTCAAATACCCGCACATGCCCATTTAAGCAATTTTTAAACGTTATTTAGAAATAGCGCTTGGTGTAATTGATCCGCAAATTACGTCAGGCGGTAACGTTATTAGCGGGTGTTAATTAAGTTAAAAATTGACTCGCGCATATCCTAACCATGATAAGGTACGCGTAAATACTGCATGACGCTATTCGGTTTTCCGATATCTCTCTAATAACCGTGCCGGTCAGGCGCTGTGCACAATTTTAGAGGCCATAAGTGGGCGTACTATGTGCGCAAACTAGTAACCTAACTAGTGCCCAATTCCGAAAATTGGAACCACGAAAAACAATAAAGAAAAAACAAAGTTTATAATCTGTATAATCTGTGGTATTATAGGGTTTATAATTTACAAAGATGCGGTTTTCACATCACTACGCTACTTTTTTATGAAACTAAAAAGGCTACAAACAGATTTGTAATAGATCTCTCAGTTCCTGAAATACAGGGAGAACTTTAAAATGTTGCATTTTTCGCCCTCCTTCGTATCTCCGCTATCTTATAACTCACCGAAAAGGTGAAAACTGTGTGAAGAATGAAAAATAAGTATAGTTACTGAACATGGCGCCATGTCAGGAAACTTGAATGTAAATGGATATGCGTTGGGTCCCATTTTTTTCACCAATTTCTCTTGAATGGTTGTCATCTGATCTATTAAATAAATTATACATTATCTATTAATTAAAATATAAATAAAAAGTGAAAGGTTCTTGCAGTATTAATATGTAATATTTAAAATAAAAATATTTCTTGCCATATAACTGCTGTTTTGTAAAATGTTCAGCTATCAAAAATAATGAAAAACTGAAAATAACAAAAAGTTTTGGGAAATCCAACCCGGTTAGCTCGTCTGATGATGGGGTATAGGCCCTGAAACCGGTAACGAGAGGATGGTTGGTTTTCCCCCGAAAAAAAAACTTTTTGTTATTTTACAAAATTTTACAAATAGAAAGTTATATGGCAAGAAATATTTTTATTTAAATATTACATATTGATACTGCAAGAACCCTTCACTTTTTATTTTATTTAATTAAAATATATACATACTGTGATTTTGAAAAGTACGAGTGGCTATGATATTTTGAATTAAGACTCAAAACAGTTTCAGTAAAAAATGTTGCTGACTGCTGTTTTCATGTAATACCTCAATGCAAATGGGCTAAAGCACACTGATCAATCGCGAGGTTTAAGTCGGGGTTTATGCTCATTTAGTCAGGTTGATTGACGTTTTATGTTAAAACATTTTTAGTCCCAACCTGTTCTGCATCTGCTGCATTGCATATTTGATTGTAAATAAAACATTTAGCTCTTCGTCGAAGGATTATGTTTTATAAAAGACACAGACGTTTTTGCCCGAGAAAAAAAACGTCTGAAAAAAACGTTTTTGTCTGTGTACAAACTTCTGTGTACTCCGTTATTAGTGAAAATAGAAGGGTGCGGTTTGCACAAACCTGTCTCACTTTTTTGTCAAACGGAAGATGCCGTAAACAAAATTTTCATAGCCCTCTTCGTTTCCGAGCTACAGGGTCTTTTTAAAAATTTTGCAATTTGGGACACCTCCTGTATCTCTGTTATTGTTAAAGCTATCGAGAAAGTGAAAACTGTTTATTGTAGAACTTTTTACGTAGAATACAGTGGCGTAGTCTTTTTTTCTGCCAAAAAAATATTTTTGAAAATATGAACTAAAGTTATGTTTTTTTAAATGGAACACCCTGTATATTTATAAATCATATGATCTGTCTTGCCATAAGCTTCTCAAAAATATATACCACTCTATATTTATTTTCACTATTTACTTCAATATTTAAAAGTTTTTATTAAAAGATCATATTTATTAGTAGGCCATGATTGATAATAAAAGAAACTAAAGAATTATTAAAAGTATACTGCTATCTGTCTCTTGTTTTATTTTGGGAGCCGCTAATAAATTCTTTATATATTAGGGAAACTTAACTCTCTACCGCTATTTGTAAATCTTGGAATACGTGTATACGTAAGAATAATCTATCGTATCGGAAATTTTAGATATTCCTTTAGCTAATTTACGTGAAATATACTTTCAGCAAGATGGGGAACATTCCCCCTCATAACTATGGAAATATTAGAATACTGTTAAATTATTATTTTTCAAATCAATGAATTGGAACCAATGAACGCATATTGATAGCCTCCTCGATTCCCGGATTTCGCCGTTCTCGATTTCTGATTTTGGGGATTTTTGAAATACGAAATATATCGTGGGCACTACAACAATGTCGAACACCTGAAAAATGCTTTAATAATTCAAGATTTAGATATTTGCAAACCCATCCCGTTATAAAAAAAAGAAAAATATATTCACAGTTTCAGTGGTAACAGTTATTTCAAAAGTAAAATATATCAATCCCAAATAAATTTTAATATGTGTATGACTATTTTAGTAAATACCATTTTGATTTTTTGTTATTTATCACGGCCTACTAATAAGAAAATGATATATTTTAAATATTGCAGTAAATAGTGAAAATAAATATAGAGTGATATATATTTTTGAGAAGCTCGTAGCAAGACAGATCATATAATTTATAAATATACAGGGTGTTTCATTTGAAAAAACATAACTTTAGTTCATATTTTCAAAAATATTTTTTTGGTAGAAAAACAGACTACGCCACTGTATTCTACGTAAAAAGTTCTATAATAAGCAGTTTTCGCCTTCTCGATACCTTTAACAATAACAGAGATACAGGGGGTGTCCCAAATTGCAAAGTTTTTGAAAAGACCCTGTAGCTCAGAAATGAAGAGGGCTATGAAAATTTTGTTTGCAGCATCTTCCGTTTGACGAAAAAGTGGGACAGGTTTGTGCAAACCGCACCCTTCTATCTTCACTAATAACGGAGATACCCTATTATTTCAACCAAAATGGGACACACTGTACGTCCAGCTTGAAAAACGAATTCCATGTTTTCATGTTTAAATAATTATTTTTCAACTATTTTTAAAAATGGTTGCTTTTTTCTACAATTGGCACAAAAAATAAATTATTTCAGCTCTATTGTTAATTAGTTTAACTTTTCACCGTGGCCCCACGTTGGGCGCCATGATATCCTTAATTATCAGATTAATCTAATAAATTATATGTATAAGATCTCAGTGAAGTAAGACTGTTACTCTATGCATTTTGATTACTTAAATGCCTGATGAGGACAATAAAAAACACGTATTTTCTAGTTAAACAAGCACAAAGTCGACTCTAGGTGTGTGTAAAATTCCTTAAATAAAGTGGTAGCCATAGAGATAGAAAATACATTATTTTCTCTATGGAGGCAGCCAAACTTAAATGATGTTAAAAAAAGTAATTTTACCTAATTCCCTCTTGGATGGGACCACTTGGACCGACCCGATCGATATCTCTTTGCTGAATTTAACTCCCATAACCTCATCCTCTTCCCGTCCATAACGGTAGACTGTGACCACAGAACAGAAAACCTTGCGACCCTAAAAAGGACCATCCTTAGTTTTTCTTTTTTGGAAATGGGGGTTTCCGTAAGTCCAGATTAAAGTTGGTTCCTCACGAGGGCGGAAAAGCGAAATTTCAACTAAATTTCTTACGTTACACTTTGCGTCAGTTTGTACCATACTGATAACTGCAAATATTCGCTTTCTATGATTTTGCGGTATCGTTTAAAATATCGGTTAAAATATTTATAACTTTTTAGCGATTTATTTTCGCGGAATATATTTTTAAGGAAGTAAGAAACGCCATCAACCGCATAAAGTTTACATAACGTTTGAATAAATTCTTGACAACATTTGGGGGAGGTTTCCAAAAATGTTTCGCCTGTGGCGCATTTATACCCCACGTCCTCTGTTTTTTGATGTGAAACTTCTTTACGCGTGCTGGGAGTAAAAATTCAAAGCCTTGGTAACTTAACTTAAGGCTGCAGTGGTAACGGCTTGGAAATACGTAGTGACGCGCCGTGTATTTGTGAGCAGTCCACCTGCTTATCAAAAATATTGATATTTTAATACAAATTTTGTGAAAATGAATCAAATTATTTATTAATTTGTACACCCAGTTTGTTTTGGTTTGGTTTGGAACCAAATTTGAATTTTTTAATTTGAATTTCAATTTTGATTGTTTTGAAACCTGTGTGCAAATGCTGGTAGAACAGCAATACACCGGGAAAACAATAAGCATATTTTCGGATAGTCAAGCCGCGTTGAAAGCACTTGAGGCAACGAAAAGTACGTCCAGGACGATTCTTCATTGTAAGAAACTACTCAATATATTAGGAGATGGAAACAAAGTGTCGCTAATATGGATACCGGGACATGTCGGCCTAGAGGGAAATGAACGTGCTGATTTCCCTCGCCAAAACTGGTGCAGGCTCGCCATTCGTGGGCCCAGACCGCCACTTAACGTACCAAAAAATCTCGCAAGAGACAGGCTCTGTGAATGGGTTAGGGGTGTAACGCTTCGGGACTGGTATGACAGTCCCGGAATGGAACATGCCAAAACAATCCTAGCAGGGCCATCCAAACGTAGAACAGATGAACTCCTAAAGGCTGGTAGGAACGGAGCGCGTACGCTTACTGCAGTATACACGGGCCACTGCCGGCTGAGATCACACCTACAGAGGATGGGACTGGTGGAAGACGCCGAATGCCGACTCTGTATGGAAGATGACGAAACAATGAAGCACGTTATGTGTACCTGCCCCGCTGGGGGCAGGATCAGGTTTGAGGTGTTTGGCAAACCCACGCTAGACTTATCAGACCTAGAAGACATATCACCCTCGGACATAACGGCCTATGTTAAAAGGCTGCGTCTTGAGGGCGAACTTTAATGCTCTTTTTCTATTAAAGAGCTTGTAGAAACTGAGCCACAATAGACCCTCGCGGCCTCAGTAGAGGGTCCCACCTGGGACTCACTCTTAGTAAAATACAAATACATAATACCCAGTTTGTTACACGTAAAACAACTATGTATTTGTTACACGTAAAAAATAAATTTTTTAAGAGAAAAAAAAATATGTTTTTTAAATTTATTACTTTTTCAACATTTCAAACTATCGTAGATTTTTTCAAACATGTCCCTGAAATCCTTCAATTTAATAGCTGTTAGTAAGAAGTTTCACCTCAAATATGCGCACATAGCCCACACACAATTTTTTTTTTATTTTGAAAGTTGGCAACCCTAGATAGAACGTACCTGTAAGTAGTCATTCTCGATGAAAACAACTCCGTCTATAGGATCGGTATGGTCGAGATGGTCGATGAAATCTCTCTTGCTTAGATAGACGGTAACTTTACCATTTGGAGTAGTCTTCTTGAAAACTTTGACTGCAACCACCATTGAAGAGAAGAGAACGTCTATGCGTCGATTGGTTCTTCGAGATTTGTTTCAGCAACCTAATGTAACAATGTATAATATAATAATAATAATAATAATAATAATAATAATACTAGCTCCCGTAGATAGCGTTTAACCCCTTGAGAGTAGCAAGGTTCGGTATACAAAGAAGGTAATGTGGCTAGCACTACGCTTCAACTGCCTATTATTACCTCAGGATTGTGAATCCCAAATACTCGTTTAAGGCTGAGTCGACCTAGGTACCGAAACTATTTTTATTTTAATAAAAATAGTCGGCTGATGAAATGCCGGGTGTAGGATTCGAACCCACAACCTTGAGATTGGTAGACGAGAGCCTGTACCTCTATGCCACCGGGCACCATATTGTAATATAAGGTGCGTAAAAAATAATGTAGGTAGTAGATTAAATTTACAAGAAAGAAAACCTAGAAAAGTAGAAAAGATCTAGTGGTTCTCAAAGTTTAAGGAAAAAATCATTTTTTTAATTTTTAAAGGAAAATTTTTCGGTTATTTTGGACTTATTTGAAAAACGATAGAGAGAAAATATGTTTATTTTATCGAGATCTACCAGCCCTGCAAATATTTGTACTTATTTAAGGCTCACCCTGTAGTTTTAGTATTTTTTTACTGCAGAAAAAAATATTAAAATATTTAAAAATTTAGAAGAAATGTGCCTCCTACCTTTAAATGTGAAAATTTCGAAAAAAGTTGGGGATTCACTTACACCACGTCGTTACTTCCGTCAGAAGTAAATCGATGACCTTGTCAATTCCATTTTATACCTTTGCGCTCGTATGGCTTCAAACTACGGCATCGCTGGCTAAATCTGTTTAAAATGTATACGCTCGAGTATATAATTGGATTTTGCCTACGACAAAAAATAATTCTGTGATATAATTCAGTAATTCCTTTCCTTTAAAACACCCTTAAGACGCAAAACTTTAAAATACCTACCTTTCTTACTTAGATTTTCCTGGAAATTTATTACTGGATCGACTGTACAGGGTGTTAATTTTCGTGTGTTTTACAGAGTTTCTCTTTTGAGTAGATGCGGTTTTCACATTACTTGCTACTTTTTTTATGAAACTAAAGATGCTACATACAGATTTGTTCTAGCCTTCTTAGTTTCTAAAATACAGAGCAAATTTGTTGTATTTTTCGACTGCCCTCGTATCACGCGGTTATCTTATAACTTATCGAAATGGTGAGAAATGGGAATTCGGTAGATATTTGCACGTAGAATCCAGTGGAATAAGTACTTCTAAAATTGTATTTTCTATAAACTGTCTCATTTTCGTGTTCTACGGGGTTCCTCGTTTACGAGTAGAGATAGAAATATGCGGAGTTTACATCAAAAAGCTACTTTTTTATAAGTATAAAATGCCACACACATATTTGTCCTAGCTCTCTTAGTTCCTGGAATACAGAGCAAATTTGAAATTGTTGCATTTTTCGACTCCCTTCATATCTCGGTTGTCTCATAACTTATCGAAAAGGTGAAAGCTGTGTCCCTTAGAGTTTTTCACGGTAAAATCCAGTGGCATAACTAGTTTTTCGCTTGGAGTTACCGTTCTTGAATTGTGACCTAAACTTAATTTCACTTATATTCTATTCCTAATTTAATTATTATTCTATTCCTATTCTCCAATATTAACTGAATGAATGAAAATAATGAAATATTTCATCTTCAAATTTTGTCATACTGGGTACCTATTCTTTGGCATTATTCGCAATTTTGCGTATACGCATTAAATGTATTGTTATATGGCTTTCTCGGAGATGCGAGTTGTCAAAAATAGGTACCCTGAGAGATCACGAGTATCATTACTATAAAGAGAAATATATAAAGACGAATACAGAGACTTTTCCCCGACAAAGTCATCTGCTACCGCTATCTCAGAGTTAAGATTTCTTATATTACTTCGATATCGCCCACTACAAAAAATCCTACCGACTGCGCCAATCTATGTTCCCTGATATTGAAAATAGACTATTTAGTAAGTTACCTCTAACTTCAGAAAACAGACAACAATGCTTATTGTGAACCTTCAAAAGGGATTAGAAAATGATAAAGCACCAAATGAAACCATGAGACGCAAAATGAAAATAAGATGCCACTTCTTAGACCTCAGCAACTAAACAACTAATATGGCATCAGCCCGTCCAGAGAATAGAGAACGTCGAATTATAAAAAAATCCTAAAATTAAAATCCCAAGACAGAAGAATGTGAGAGAGAGACCTTGTAAAAGTGTCCAGCTTTTACATGGTTACATGGGGTATTGACAAAGAAAGATTTGATAATTTTTTTTTATTAAAAAAATGTAATTATAAATAATATAAATATACATTAATGCAAAAAACACTTATAGCCTGTCTAGTGAAAGAATATAGTATGTCGAGACAGACATCAAAAAAAATTACAGAAAAAAATGAACTGTCATTTTCATACCTGTACATTCCAGTGCTGGACAGGCCATAAGTAGAACCATATACTTATAAAAGAACAACATTATGTGTCTGAACTATTCAAACTCTATTTCTATCCTTCAATGTAGGAAAAAGACTACAGAATATTCATTTATAAATATATGCTTAAAAACTAAAATACATTTTTTCTTAGTTGTAGGTATATGTATTACCGCAAATTTGTTCTCTTAATAGTCTATTTCTGTTAAACTTCTACAGGCTACGCACACTGGAAATGTCAATCAATTTAACAAAATACATGTTACATTTAACTGAGTTTCCAACAAATTACAAACCAAGTTATTAAATGAGTTCATTTTAATGTAAACATTTCATACACTAAACATGGCAAATGACCACAAATCTCATAAGTTTTTCTTCCTAATTATATTTTTTTGGGAAGAGCCTCTTCACTTCTATCAGATGAATCGCCATTTGACATTATATGACAGTTGCATGATACAAAGAATACAAGGTATGATATTGTATCGTATAGGTCACAGGTGATAAACAGCACTATTGGTCGGCAAGCTCTGCGCGCCAATTTCAAATTGTCAAACAGATTGTGTCATCTGTGAAATTTAATTGTGTCAAAATGTGAAAATTATTTTTCAAATGTCAAGCTCGATGTCAAAACATAACTTTTGGGGTTATGTCCTAATTCTTCCCTATTTTAGGTCTTTTTTTATTAGTGGCAATTGAACAATATGGATATTTTTTTGTATGGCGTATGACGTCACAGGTGGTAAGCGCAAACTTAACGAAATTGGAGCCGCTATCGATCATACCTTGTTTTCTTTATACCATGTGACAGTTGTAATATTGTTTGGGTAACTCAGTAAGTATTTCAAAGTGAGGCACCCTGTCTAATATGTATGGAGGGTAGAGCTAAGGAGAATTATCTTTGTATATTGAAAAGCGGTCATCAAACAGGGAACACTTAAGATGGCGCCGCTGTAGCAAAAGTTCTACATTTGAAAGAAGCACCAACAATTTTTAAAACAGGAAATAATTAAAAATAGATAGATAAATAATATGCGATTTCTGAAGGAGCGTTGCCTCTCTTTTTGGCTAACTTTATTTATAACCGCTAATTTCAGTTCAATCCCTTATCGCTTGTTAGAGCCATTTAGTAAATTATTATTCTTCCCTTTTAGCGATCAATTTTTCAAATAAAGCCCTATAAGGGATATTTCTGCTTTCCTCTAGCCTCCACACTAATATGCCACATGTTAAGGGAATGGCAGTCCATTCTGTCCACTACTAAGTCATAAAAATATATCACAAAGATGTTTCACAATCCACATACAAAATTATAGGCAGATCACCACTCAACTAACAACAATCATATCTATTTCATTTGCTAAAAGAACTTCTTTATACAATTGTTTAGCTCTTTCATTAAAAGAACTATTAACTTCTTCTAACTGCTTTTCAGTATGTGCAACTCTACTTTCTAAATCGGCGCACTTTCTTTGAAGGTCCGTAACTTGACATTTTAGGAGCTGATTTTCTTCTTGCAAAGCCTGTACCATCAGATCGGTGCTTTCTGAGGTTTCCAAAATAATCTCGGGCTTTATCGTTATTGGATACTCAATAAATGGTTTATTATCCCCTACTAAAAAATGGAATTAATTATTTTAAGCCTAGTAGAACTTAATTACAAAATTAATTACCTAATCTCTCGGGTTCTGGAGGGACTGTAAATTCTTCAGAAGTTTCATTCTCTATTAAATAAAAAAAATAATATTGTATGATCGAAAAAAAAAACGCGTCAAAGACGGCTGGGGAATATTAAGCGATAATTTTGACGAGGTCAATCTCTAGACGTCATTTACTAAAAATTGACGTAAAACTTGTCGAAATTAACACTAGTTATAGAACTTTAAATAAAAAGATTAAGGAAGGAGCATATCAAAAATTTTACGTCGACCGCGACGGAACTCTAACGTGGCCGACTTAAATTAATAAAAAAGTACTATCTTCTTAAGGCCAACTGGCATTAAACGCCATTATAAAATAAAGGAAGGTACTGGCCAAGTAATGACGTATAGGGCTTGACCTCACCAAAATTTTCAACAATTGTCATTACCCAGCCATCTTTGACGCCGTTTTTTTCAAGCATGAAAGTATATTGCTAACACATAAATAGTAAAATAAATTACCTGCATAGTCAATTTCAGATTTTATTGAGACAGGACACTCCGGACTACTATTCTCTACTAAACAACAATAGAAATGTTATAATACTGATGATTCTTAATAAAAAAACTTTAATACCTGCTTGTTCGGAAAATTTAACTGAGTTTTCTAAATGACTCCTAACCAAAGCATTTCTTTCTATGATTGGACAGCCTGTTTTCTTATTCTCTACTAAATAACAATATTAAAATTATAATCCTGGTAATTCTTAATAAAAATACTTTAATACCTGTTTGGTTGGTGAATTTAGCCAAGTTTTCTAAATGACTCCTAACCCAAGCTTTTCTTTCTAAGATTAGACACTCTGGATTAGTCTCTACAAAACAACAATATAAATGTTATAATCCTGATAATTCTTAATCAATAACAATCTATAATACCTGCTTGTGCCTTAGGTTTAGTAGAGTTTTCTAAAATACTCTTAACCAAAGCTTTTCTTTCTGAGATTAGACAGCCTGTTTTCTTGTTCCCTACTAAATAACAATATTAACGTTATAATCCTGGTAATTCTTAAAAAAAATACTTTAATACCTGTTTGGTTGGTAGATTTAGCCAAGTTTTCTAAATGACTCCTAACCCAAGCTTTTCTTTCTAAGATTAGACACTCTGGATTAGTCTCTACAAAACAACAATATAAATGTTATAATCCTGATAATTCTTAATCAATAACAATCTATAATACCTGCTTGTGCCTTAGGTTTAGTCGAGTTTTCTAAAATACTCTTAACCAAAGCTTTTCTTTCTAAGATTAGACACTCTGGATTAGTCTCTACAAAACAACAATATAAATGTTATAATCCTGATAATTCTTAATCAATAACAATCTATAATACCTGCTTGTGCCTTAGGTTTAGTCGAGTTTTCTAAAATACTCTTAACCAAAGCTTTTCTTTCCTTTATTAAAGCTCTTTCTGATCGAGCTGAAGTCTTTTCTTCATCATTATTAAATTGCCCAAGTAGCAGTGAAGGAATTGCTTAAAAATGTACTTATATAAATCTAAAAGTAACGAATTATAATTGTATAAATAAAATAACTTACCATCTTTTTTTAATCTCACTGGTCGGAAATTCAAAAGTTTAGCTTTTATCAAGTCCTCAAAATCTTCCAGCTTAAAATGTTTGCTACAAATACGTTTGTACTTCACTGAAAATGTATCTTTTCGGTAACACTTTTCGACCCATTGTTTACGTATTTTAGGATCCCTGGGAAAAGTAAAAAATCTGAGCCCTTCTCCATTTAACCTGGATTTTATTGCATTACTTTTGCAGGTGCCAACAGCACAAGTTAATCCAGTCATTATTCTAGAAGTAAATAATTACTAATTTCATCTTACCGCCTAGGTACTAAGTACTCACTTTTTTCTCTTTCCCTTTCCGTTTTCCTCGTTTATTTGTAAAAACAGGTAAAACACAGAGGTAAAAACAAAAACTAAAAAAAAGTAAATACAGACAAAAACCATAGATTAAGAATCTATAGGATAGGTTGGGCGATGCTTATCGATATTCTTAAAACATCGATAAACATATAGTTCCATATCTTTGGTTCCGATCGATGTCCAGTTTTTCAAATCTTTGGTTTCGATCTAACATCGATAATTAATATCGATGTTTCACGTCGATAGCCCAGTGCCCCTTACTAACTGTCACTGTGGTCAGAAAATTTGATGTTTACTTTTTGTTGGTTATCTGAAATTTTTTCGTATTTTTAAATCGTCATTCTATATTTCTTTTAAATTATTTATTTAACTATTATCTTTTCGATTACAGATCTACATTACGTGTTTAAAAAGAATATATTTTTGTAAGTTTTTGCTACTATATTATTATTTTTTATGCTAATAATACTTGTTTATTTAGACAATGGATAATGCTGTAGATGTATCCCAGTATATTTTACCCCAAGATCAACCTTTTGTAAGATTGGAAATTGAAACTGCATTTAATGGCCTAACAAAGCAGGAAAAGTTTTATTCCCACTACCTTAGCCAAGCCTCTTGGAATGGTAGTTTGATTACGTTTATTCAGGTAATATAGGAGCATCCAATACAATATATAAGACTTTTTTCATTATCGGTGATGCTGTTGTTTATTTAATAAACTGTGTAAGGTTTGGTATCAGTATATTACAGTTGCATTAATGTTTTTAGGGCTGACATTTTCATATCAGTATTTACTGCCATTTCAGTCCTTTTGTGATTTCTGTTTATTTTATATATAAAACTATAGAAATGTGTCTAATAGTGGTACTAAGAGAAATTACGCATAACCAGGTATATTTACATTTTAGACTAGTCCAGAATCCGGACCAATATTTGTCCTGTTGCTTAAATTCTTTTCGGAGCAAGACAATAATGCATTTAAAGAAACCGCTTTAAAGAGTGGTTTTTCAGAGGACGATTTAAAAGCGCTTTATATTTATGCTGGAGGGGTATTTGCCAATGCCGGAAATTATAAGGTATTTTATTTAGGGTGTTATGAAACTTATAAAGTAATTTTAACTTTGTATTTAAAGGGATTTGGCGATACTAAATTTATACCAAATATTGAACAAAATCGTTTAGAAGAATTATTAGCTTTAAGTCCTTCATGGCCAGAGATTAAAGCCTTGTGGAATATGTATAAAGACATTATATATGATTTGAGTCCTGGTAAAACATGCCTTGGGTGAGTAAAATATACAGGGTCCGGTAATAGTTCCTAGAATAAAAAACTTGAGAATTTTGTTTATGTGCAGAAATAAAATAGAGAGAATATAAAATACTTTTTTTTTTTCGAAAGTTTGGCATAGAATTTTGAACATTCTGTATGATTTACGATAACCATATTTATAGCAAGGTAAGTACAGACCATCTAAAGTAAATAACTAATATAGTTTTGATTTCAGGACAGTTCTTGTATTTTTAATAATTTGTTTAAGACGGACTGAAAAATATATATTTTTTATTAATTTATTAATATCTCTGAAACTATCAAAATTTATTTACTCATATCTTAGGATTATGTTAAGTGATCTAAAAGGAAGGCAAAAATGCAATAATACACAGGGTGTTCCATTTAAAAAAAATCATACCGATCCACTGATATTTTTTGAGCCACCCTATAGTAATTAAAATATTTTCCTGATATCTATCCTAGTATTTTACATATTTTAGGTTTGTACTTAAACAAAATTCCCAAGTTTTTTTATTCTAGGAGCTACAGATGCCCGAGGCACTATTGCTAGACCCTGTATGTATATCTTTCATAACTTGTATATGAATTTATTTTAGATATAATCCACTTGGAACCACGACATATTTATCGAAAAATATTACACCTGAAGATACAGAAAAAGTCCAAAACTGGTTAAAATCCAAAAAAATTGAATGCTACAATAACAGATTGTTTAAGTTTGAAGAAAAAAACGAAGTAAATTTAAAATTTAACTTAATTTTTAAAAAATTATTATTAAACGAACCTTTTATTTTGTAGGTTGTTTATGAAATTCGAATGGCTTCTGAAGAAGAAAAGCCTCCACTAGAGTATAGAGAGGGGAACATAACCTATAAGGTTACGTATGGAGATTACTGTCCTTTAATGGGCTTGTTAGCCGATAATTTAGAGAAATCTGTTGAATTTGCTGCTAATCCAACGGAACAGTCTATGATTAAAAGTTATGTTCAGTCGTTTCGAACTGGTTCTTTAGATGATCACAAAACAGGTCAGTATTTGTTCACAATAATCGGTTAATATAGAAGGTGATCTGAATTGTATTCGGGAAACTTCGGCTTCCGCAAATAAAAATAAGTAAAAAAGTCTTTATAAATGTATGTCTTAAATAGTGATGTTGGTAGCGAATATTTGCATTCGAATTTTGCAGGAAATTTCCGAAATATTCGGTCCCAAAATCGCGAATATTCGCAAAAATCCGAACTTTGCAAGAAATTTCTTTTCAAAATTCAAGACATTGAGCAAAAATTTAACGAAAGTGTATCAAGTATGCCGATTCTTAAGTCAGAAGAAAAAGAATACTTCTCCGCCGTACAAAATAAAAAACCTATGGCTCTTGAACCAATGCATTTTGCCGCGAATCTCTTGGACCCCTGTTTCCTGGGAGAGCACCTTAACAATGAAGAACACATAGCTGCTATGGAATTTATCAACAATATCACCAACAATCATCCTCAGTTTGTCAATAATAAGCCATTTTTACAGATGTAACAAAGCATTGCGCTAAATCGGGTTTATGGGCTCTCGACTACGTTTGGATGTCAGTTAAAAATGTAGACTGTCTAAGTTGGTGGCAAGCAATGTGTAAAAATACTCAGTTGAAATATTTAGCTGTTGCTCTGCTGTCTTTACCCAAGGATACTATAGAGATAAGGATAGTTCGATTCCTATCTTCCTGCACTGTCAGTTTTTTTACGTCATCTACTGACCGAGTTGAAGTTGGCGCTAAAGATTTTAGACAGTGACAGTTATTTTTGCATTTGACGGACGAGCGCACAGTTCGTTGAAAGATAAATTTAGCGGGACAAAAGCGTTTGGTAAGAAATAAGCCAAAAAATGTGTACTGTAAGAATAAATAGTAGACATTCCAATTGATACAAAAATGCATGAATATTCTTTGTATTTCGATACATTTTTATCAACCAAATTTGGTCGTTTTCTGCTCAGCAAGGCAGAGATCATACGAAAACAAAATATTTACAAGTGCTTATACATTTTATTAGAAAGCCAAATTATGTTGAAGATTGCCAAAGGTATGTACTTTACTACTGTACATTATATTGTTTGTTAAAATCCTTCATTACCTTTGTTCTGCAGATATGAAACTTTCACTTTTTTCAAATATCGATATATTGAATGATGTAGATCTTTTGAGTTACCAATAGTTACCAACACAGGTAGTCACAGTCACAGGGAGTTCAAGCTTAACAGGTGAATGCCCAAAAAGATTCATTTCAATCGGATAGTATAAAAACAAAACAACTCCACCAAAAGGCACTGAGTTTAAAAAATTGTCTTAGATACTTACTATATATGAATTTACAATTACCGAGTGTTAAAATTAAAACTAAAATATCTATCTTATTTATTATTTTCAAAATAAAATATATTTTTTTAAAATAAATTATAGAGGGTGTCACAAGATTACAAATTAATTAAAAAAAAACTGCTAAAGAGTTTTTTGATATCATAATTTTATGTATTTGACAATAGTTTACAATACGGTTTTTGTGTGTCATGTACGAATAATATCATAGTTTTATTATCTTGTATTTATTTATTAATAAATTAATTTGTTAATAAATAAATAAATTTAACCATATAGTTGCTATATATTAGACCATTTGCTACGTTCTTAGATTTTAAGTCCCAAACATTGCTCTTGAGATTTTGTCCCGCTAGAATAACCATCCGCCGCACTGTGGACCGCTGGTCAGCGAGTGACGTATCATTCCACAGCGACTACGACAGCGGCGATTTGACGCGATCGAACAGTCCTTTGGAATATATACAGTCCTTGGTCTTTACCAACGTCATCTGCAGCCACAGAGAGAAGTATCAGTACTTACAGTTTTATCCATACTAAAAAAAGGAATCGCTTAACTGCAAAAAGAGCCGGTAAAATAATGTTCGTAGCTCATAACAATAAATTATTACTACAAAAACAAAAAGTGGATATGGAGCATGATATTCAACAACAGGAAATTCCTCCAGAACCACTAGAACTCGTGGAGGTAGAGGTCCATCCTTCAGAATCAGAACCAGATGATACATCAAATATATCTGATTTGGAAATAAAAACTGACGAAGACAGTACTACTACTACTATAATACCCTATGAAGATGGGACCAGCTCGGCGCCTGATATTCCGGAATAGAATAATTCAGTTATTTGTGTTTTACGTTTTTTAAATTTATATTTCGTGCTTTTTTGTTTTTTTTAAATTCATAGTCATAGTTCGTGGTTTATGCACAAAATACAAATGTTACCAAATGATTTTTATTATGGGTTATGTTTATGACTTTTATGGGTTATGTATTGTTTATTAAAAATATAGCAACTGATATTATGTTTATTGTTTTTTTTTCCATTTACATGTTGGTATCAAATGTCTATCTAATTTATTCCTTCATTGTATCGACAAAAAATATGTAAAATTGTAACATTTCCTAATATTTCATAAATTTCCGAAAGTTTCAGAAATTTCCCGCAACAATCAAAAATTTCTGAAATATTAACATCACTAGTCCTAAAGTGCTTCGTTTCGGAGATACAGGGTGTAGAAGTTATGTTAGGTTAGTCCTCCCTCCTTTCAATTTGGTGAATATCTCAGTGGTGGACGAATCACTCGATTTGATCTTCGTGGTATCACTGGAGTGTGAGGTGTATTCTCTGGTATCACTGGAGGTTCTAGTTCACGAATTGATGTTCTGGTAGCTGGTACAATTGGTGGTTCTTCATAGTATCGAATATGGCGTTGACGATCATTTGTTGGCACTTCTATTGCTCCTTGAAATGTTCTTATTTGGTCAATATGACGTCTTATTTGTTTATCTTCATAGTTGATTTCATAGTGGAGATCACCTGTTCGTTTAGAAATTGTGCCAGGGAGCCATTTATCGAGCTTCTGGTTTCCAGATAGGAAATTACACTCTTTGTCCATCTTCCAAGGTGCGAAAAGTTGATTGCATTGCAGCTCGTTGTTTTTCCACACTTTCGTTGATATATCATCAGGTCTCGTTAGATTAAGGCGAGTGCGAAGGTCTCGTCCTAAGAACAATTGAGCTGGGGACTGTCCTGTGGTGGAATGTGGTGCTTTGCAATATTGTCGAAGGAATTGGTTAAGATTACTCTGTAGTGTTGCTTTCGTAGTTTTCATTGTATATAGTCCGTCTTTCACTGTTTGCACATACCGTTCCGCTTGTCCATTTGTTGATGGATGATACGGTGCTGATAGTTTGTGGTATTTTACTTCACTATTCTTCAGAAAAGTCTTGAATTCTTCTGCAATGAATTGTCTACCGTTATCTGAAACAACAGTGATTGGTGTACCATATGCTGTGAAGAGGTTGTCCATAATAGCGATTGTTAAAGCTGCTGTGGTAAGAGTGGTAGGTTTTACTTCAACCCATTTACTGTAAGCGTCGACAACGATTAACAGCATCGTGTCGGCTACTGGACCTGCGTAATCAATATGAATACGTTCCCATGGTGCCTTTGGGTACTCCCAATGGTGGTCACGAAATTTGGGTGGATCATGCGCTTGTGTTGCACATGCGGTGCAAGACTTAGCAAGTTTCTCAATGTCTGCGTCTATGCCTGACCAAAAAACAAAAGAACGTGCCAATCCTTTCATCTTGACTATGCCTAGGTGAGCTACATGAAGGTCGTTGAGGATGGTGTCTCGTAGAGAAGGCGGAATCACTACTCTATGCTCAAACATGGCTCAATGGCTGCTAGAGTACACTTAACTTCGGGAGCTTTAAAGTTGTGATATAATAAATCCTGTCCATCTTCTAGAATTTTCTACGATCTTACCAAGGTGTAGGTCTTTCTGGTTTCGCGTGCGATTTACCAAGGTGTAGGTCTTTTCTGGTTTCGCGTGCGATTGCTTCTGCTCTCACTGGTAGTTGCTGAGTTTGATGTATAGTGAAACAATCGAAATAGTCAGAAATCCTCGGCTTCTTCCCTTTGTGAGGAAGAAGAGTTGTGAATAATGTTGACTGTAGAAGTTAATGGTGCTCTGGAACAATAGTCTGCGTTAGCGTTTTTCTTTAGAAGTCTTGAAGACAATGTCGTAGTCAAAATGTGCCAGATAGTCAGCATAGTTCGCCATGCGACTGATACACAGGACTGGTAGTGACTTCTCAGGATGCAGAATTTGTGTTAATGGCTTGTGATCCGTGATAAGCGTGAAGTGGCGTGCGTACAAGTAATTGAAAAACTTTTGTACCGCCCATACTATTGCAAGAGCTTCCTTGTCTATTTGTGGGTATTTTTGTTCTGTTACTGTCATCGTTCTACTGGCGTAAGCGATTGGACGTTCTTGCCCGTTGCTTAGTCGATGAGAGAGCACTGCACCGAGACCTGTTTTGCTGGCGTCGGTGGCTAACAGAAGAGGCAAGGTTGGATCATACTGGATGAGTACTTGCGGTGAAGTTAGAGCGTTTTTAATATCTTCGTAAGCTTTGTTGCCTTCTGGAGTCCAGACGAATGGGTCTTTAAGTAGCATGTCTCTTAGTGGTCTATCTCTATCTGGAATAAACGAATTATAATAAGTTGCTTTTCCAAGAAACAGCTGTAGTTCTTCTGGAGTTACTGGTTTGGGTGCATCACGTACTGCACGGATATGTGTATCAGATTTGTGGATTCCTGATGCCTCAATCTTGTGACCAAGAGCTTCTAAGACATGTTCCGCAAAGGTACATTTACCTCGGTTTAGCTTCAGCCCATGTTGCCTAAATCGGTCTAAGATTAAGTTCAATGCTTGAATCAGTTTATCAAAATTGTCGGCATATACAATAATGTCATCGAAAAAACTTACGACATTTTCAAGTCCTTGTAGCACTGTCTCCATTCGTCTTTGCCAGATAGCAGGAATGTTGGCTGCGCCATACACTGCTCGTTTTGGCCGGATGAGACCATGACTTGGAGTATTGAGCGTTAGTGCATGACTGAACTCTTCATCGACCTCGAGATGGGTGTAGGCGTCTGTAACATCCAAGTGGCAGAAAAGAGAAGCGCCCCGCATTCGGTGGAACAGGTGTTCGATCTTCGGAATCGGATGTTCATCGATGATGATCCTTGGGTTGAGTGTTGGCTTGTAGTTACCAGTGATTCTCAGTTTCCCATTCTTCTTGACGACAACGTGTTTTGTTGATGCCCCTCCGAATAATCGACTCTTTGTAGAAGCCTGAAGAAATTTTGGACTCGATTTCCTTGGCGTACGCATCACGAGAGCAACTGGGATATCTCGAGCACGGGCGAAGATAGGAGTAGCACCACTTTTCAAATGCATTTTCGCTGGTGGTCCTGAGATTTTTCCAGGCACGTTGCTGAATACGTCTTGGTACAGATTGAGGATGTGGTCAAGTTGTCTTTGATGTTCTAAGGACAGGGGTTGTTTGACTGAAAACTTATGAATTAGATAAGGTTTTGCAAAGAGGAGCTCAAAGTTGATCTCTTGGGCAAACTCAGAGATCCACTCTCGTCCAAGTAGCGTCTCACACTCTCCTTCAACTACGTAGAGGTATAGGTTGCTAGTTGTGGTACCAATGGTGGCGTTGACGGACGTCTTTCCAATGCAGTTGATGCGGTGACCCGTGTAACTAGCGAAGTGACGATCTGTCTTCTGTAACTGAAACTCTGGTTTGATTGTAGCTACTTTTGATTTGGCTATGATAGAGCATGGAGCGCCGGTGTCGCTATGATAGAGCATGGAGCGCCGGTGTCAAGTTCCATTTTGACAGTGGTTCCCTCTATGTTGACATCAATCAGCTTCTTTGGTGATGACTGGACTGTTCCATTACCTCTAGTTTACTGAGATGCTGCACGACATCAATGTTTTCTGCTGGTTTATCTTCAGTGATAAGATTTGTACCCCTTGTTGTCTTCGATCGACATACCTTGCTGATGTGTGTCCCTTCTTTCCACACTTGAGACAGTTGGCGTTGAGGAATCTGCACTGACTTCGAGGGTGATTTTCACCACAACCTGAGCATACTGGCTGATTGTCTTTGGATGTCTGATTTGTTTGGTGATACCTTGCTTGATTTGGTGATTTCTGGTATCGGCGTGTTGATGAACTGTTTGGTCGCTGATTACCATTCTTTCGAGATGGAGGTTTTTCGTATCCAATCTTGTTCGTTGTATTTTATTCAGATTGAGTGCCCAGGTGAACCGTGTAAAGTAGTTCGTGATTGAAGTTCCGTCGGCAGCGCGATACGCTTGCATGGAGAATTGGGGTGGTCGAGGCTGTGCTGATGACGTTTGTTCTGTTGGACCAGGTATTTGAGACTGTCGTATGGCATTGGCAATTAATCCCGATAGTTGTTGGAGTAATTCTGGTGTTACTTGAGCCATGTTGAACAACGTTTATAAACAGGAGACTTACCAAAGTGGTGATGTCTGTATTTGAGCACGAAGTTTGACGAGGCTGCGATGGCGTTCGTAGATTTCGTTTCTGTGTTGCACTTTCACGAGTTTATATATCTATCCCACTTCTGACACCACTTTTATGTTTCTTGGGGGGTTTATAGATATATAAAGTGTACTAAACTCTATTTTTATTTAAAATACCATTTCAAAATTACAAATCATTGACAACTAAACTTATGACATGAGCTTCACTATTTTTCAGGTATTCACAGGTGGAGGTGTACTCCGATAAATATATAACAGTTAGGTTCGATTTTTTCCAAATAATTTCTGAACTAACATGAATATTTGGATGAAAATTAGTGCCTGGGTGTTTTTTGACATGAAAATTTCGATTTTGATGTCAATATGACTTTAACTTGTAGAGGGCGCCACCTTCATGTTTTTTAGCAGATTTGAAGAATAATAACTTTCGTCTGTACCTTTATTACACTACTGTTTGAAAAAATATACATTTCCGCCGTTTTTCACCTAAAAAAGGTTTCTTGGTTAAAATCGCTATGACTAATGGTTCTCAAGGTATTTGGAATAGAGAAAGAAACCTACGTCGCCGGGCGACAACTAAAATCCAGTTAATATTTTATTATAATCGATCCTGACGAATAAATGAATTTCATAAATGAATGAATTTTATAAATGAATGGTTTTTGCTGCCGAATTACTAGAATACAATATTTCAAGGCAGATGACGCGTCTATTCGATAATTTTTATTTGAATAGTTTTCAACGAATGTTTTCTTACTAGCTATCGAATTATTCGAATGAATTGCAACTATCGAATGTTTCGATAGTATTCATTCGATAGTTCCCACTACTAGTTGTAAGTATGGACACATAAATACATACAGGGTGTTCCAATATTCCGTGGACATAGAACTACTACATATTTAAAAAAAATAACTTTAGGAGACACAATTCACCTCTATATTTATACTAAAATTTATGTAGGGGTGGGGGTAGCTTTTACCCTTTCCGTACTTGTTCGTGATTTTTACGAAAGTCAAATGTATAAGCACTTAGCAAAACATGGACACGCAAAATCTTATTCAAATAGGATTAACAGTTCTTAAAATATCTGAAAAAATGTGTTTATTTTTTTAAAGTTTGATACCCTCTAACGGACAATCGAAGCACTTTTGTATAGAGGTAAATTGTATGCAATGAACTTATTTTGATTCCAAAAATACGTAGTAGTTCTATGTCAACGGAATATTGGGACACCTAGTATAAGGTGTTTCAAAAAATATGCTAAAAACTCTGCACCAACAACTGTTTGTCAACAAAGATGTTGTTGACGTTTTATTACCTTTTTTTTAAATAATATCTCCTATAAATTATTTTATGTGCAATTATTATATATAATTCGAGAGAATAAAATAATCTTTATTGTATAGGTAAATAAAGAGATGTCAAGAAAATTCGCCTACTTAGTATCAAATGCAGAAAGTTTCTTGAAACTGCTACCCTGGGATAAGGAATTCGAAAAGGACGAATTTTTGAAACCAGACTTCACATCTCTGGATGTTCTTACCTTTGCCGGCAGCGGAATACCAGCTGGCATCAATATACCTAATTGTAAGTAATTTTCGGGTGTTTTTCTTAAATCTTAGAGATAAAAAAGTTATATGAAGTTAGCGAGAATGCCTGTATTATCTTGGAGATACATTAATATTTTTTACAGACGATGATATCAGGCAAACTGAAGGGTTCAAAAACGTGTCATTAGGCAACGTTATTCCAGCCAGTTATCAGCAATCTGTAACTCCGTTCTTATCTAAGGAAGATGCTGAACTTCTGCAAAAGTGGAGAGTACCAGCTTTTGAATTACAGGTATGTATGAATATTAAAAAAATAAATATAAAAAATTGTCCAAAAAAAACAGCGACTCTCATTTCCAAGACCTATGACGCCGTTTTTTTTTATTGAATGTACAAATCAGTTATTTTTTTTTCATTTCCAGGTTGGATTACATGAACTTCTTGGTCACGGTTCGGGTAAATTGTTTAAAAAAGAAGCTGATGGTACTACCAATTTTCCCTCTACACTTCTAGATCCGCTAACAGGTATAGTAAAATAAAGACGATGATTGGTCATAGTGTTTTCGCGCCAATTTTCATCAGTACAATTTTAACCCATGTCCGTCGACGGAGAAAATAAATTAAATTTAACTTGCAAGATCTGCTGCTACAATATTGTTACGGATTCTGTGGGTCCACTAATTTAAACTCACGATAAAATACTTAACGAATTTATTTTATCTCACTATATACACGCAATTTATACTGATTACAACACACAATTAACTATATATAAAATCCTTCGCCAAATTGTCACGATTCACAATTTAAAACGGTGTATTTTCAAACTTCAAACTGGCTCAACTGCCGATCGCGCGCTTTTTATATACTCTATCGGATGTTTCTGGAACATTCTAAAACTATCATTAACATTCTGCCTCCTACTAGTCTTCTTCTTCTTAAGGTGCCGTGCAGATTCCTGCGTAGGCGTTCATCTTTTTCTTCCTCATCAGATGGTTCTGTTAACTGCCGCGACTTGGAGTGCTTGGAAGTCCTGTATGCCTGTCCAATGACGAATATTTCTCAGCCAGGATAGCTTCCTTCGTCCTATCCCCCTTTTGCCCCCCTCTATTTTACCCTGGAGAATCAGACGCTGAAAGTGATAGCGTTCTCCACGTAGTATGTGTCCCAAATAGGCTATTTTCCTCTTCTTGATGATTTCGAAGAGTTCACGTTGTTCCAGACCAGCTCTTCTGAGAATGTCTTCATTCCTAACACGGTCGACCCAGGGCACTCTTAGCATTCGTCGTAGGGTCCACATTTCGAAGGCTTCAATTCGGTTTATTGTTGCTACCTTCAGTGTCCATGCTTCCACACCATATAACAAAACGGACCAGACATAGCACTTCACCATTCTGTATCTAAGGCCGAAGTTCAAATTCCTATCTGTGAGAAATCTTCGCAGTCTCAGAAAAGTAGATCTTGCTTGTTCGATCCTGCATTTGATCTCCTGATCCGGATCCCACGTTTCGTTAACCATGCATCCCAAATATTTAAATTGTGTGACCTGCTTGATGACCTCTCCATTTAAGTAAATTCTGGTGTTCGGAATATTTTTCTGCTAACAGCCATAAATTTAGTTTTTGTAGTATTTATGTTTAAACCCAGTCTTTGACTTTCACTGTTTTTAGAAGGATTTGGAGATCATTTGCATTGTCTGCCAATATCACTGTGTCATCCGCATATCGGATATTATTAATTGGAATGCCATTTATTTTCAAACCAATGAGACTATCGGAGATTGACTCAGTGAATGCTCTTTCCACATATAAATTGAACAACATTGGAGACAGAATACACCCTTGCCTTACCCCCTTTTTTATTTCAAAATCTTCTGTTACTCCTACGCTATGTATACGAATTTCAGCTTTTTGGTTCCAATACAAATTACTGATGAGCCTTATATCTTTTCCATCAAGTCCCAAGTTTCTGAGGTATGATACAAGGAGGTTATGTTTAACATTATCGAACGTCTTTTCATAGTCTATAAAGCACATGAAGACATCTTTTCTCTGATCTTGGCAATTCTGTACTAAAGTTTGAAGACTGAATATGGCTTCTCTAGTACCAAAGCCGTTCTTAAATCCAAATTGACTTTCTCCACTTACTTCCTCACATATTTTGTAGAGTCTTGTATGCAGTACCCGTAAAAAGAGCTTAAGAAAGTGGCTCATTAGACTAATAAGACGATACTCTTTACATGAAGTTGCGTTACTTGACTTGGGCAGCGTGATAAACGTAGAACGAAGCCAGTCTTCAGGGATGTAACCGGTGTCATAGATGTTATTGAAAAGCTGTACTATAGTTTTTAAGTTTTGTTCATTAATTAAGTGGAACGTTTCCGAATACATATCATCAGGCCCTGGAGTTTTGTCGTTTTTATTAATCTAATCGTATGAATAATTTCACTTTCCAATATGCTTGGTCCTGATGGCATGGGAATCTCAGTTGCAGGGTTTTCTGATCTTTCGTCGTTGAAAAGATTAATGGTATAATTTCTCCAAGTTTGCAATAGTTCTTCTGTTTCCGTTCTAATTTTATTTTCGTCAGTTTTAATTAGGGTTATTGATTTATTATAGTGTAACCCAGCTATCTCTTTCACTTTCTTGTGAAGATGGAAACTGTCTCCAAGATGACTGAGATTTTCGGCCTCTATACATCTCTCCTTCAACCATGTCTCTTTTGCCGTTCTTATTTTATTACGAATTTTTCTTTACATAGATTTATATTCGTTGTGATTATTCTGGATTTTAAATTGTCTTCGTTGTTCCATCATTTTTAAAATATCTTCACTCATCCACTCGTTTTTCGCTGTTGTTCGATTAGCCGTGAGGAGGTTTTCATTTGTGTTCTTAAAAGCTTGCTTAATGCCCAGCCATGTTTCTCAATGTCATTTGTACTGACAATACTTTCCAATTCTATTTTTATATGGTTTTCATTCATTGATCTTTTCTGCTGGTCTCTGAGAAGTTTTGGATCCAAGTTCTTTCTCAAGCTTTTTCGTTTAGGTTTGGCAAAACGCAATAGGATGTTGGCACGTAATGGATTATGGTCCGATTCAATATCGGCACCTGGCATTGTAGTTACTTTTGTGATCAGGTTTTTAAATCTATTATTAATTAGTATATAATCTATTTGATTACGAACAATACGGTAATCATTGTCTTGTGGAGACTTACAGGTATAAAGTCGTCTAGATGGGAGTTTGTACCATCTATTTGTGATTGTAAGATTATTTTCTTCACAGTATTGTATCAATTTCTCACCTCTGTCATTCCTTTCACCTAAACCATAATTTCCGACAACAGATCCCAACCTGCCTTTACCGACTTTGGCATTAAAATCTCCCAAAACCAAGTTTATTTCATTACTTTTTGTGAGTCTTAGCACCTGATCAAGTTGTCTGTAAAAGTCTTCAATCTCGTCCTCTGCCTTTTCTGCTGTTGGAGCATAGTCCTGGATGATATTGATATTAATAGGCCTGCCCAGTAACTGAATTAGAATTACCCTTTCTGAGAGAGGAATAAAGTTCTTCACTGACTTATGTAAATTCTCATCCATTAAAATACCAACCCCTCGCTGATGATTTTGATCAATACTGTCATTGCCGGAATAGTAAAAGACTTTACCTTTCGATTTAATCATTCCAGTGCCAGGCCAATGGACTTCACTGACTCCAAGGATATTTACCTCCATCCTGTTCATCTCCTGTATTAAATTGTCAAATTTTCCAGCTGCAAACAATGTTTTCACATTCCAAGTCGCAATTTTTGTTATCTTATCTAGTTGGAACCGGGGGATTCTTCGCACCTCTTGACCACTTAAGGTCTGCCCGGGACTAGAGGCCATTTGTTTTTGAGCTTCCAACATAATAAGAAATACTAGGATGAATATCCTGGGAATATCTATGAAGATCTTTAATGCGGTGGTTTCCCGTTGCCTTCCGCATTTCCCTGCCGTTGACCACCTGCTGGTTCTTTCGCCTTTGGGGATGATTTCTCATCCCGAGGACAAGGAAGTGCCCTCACTCTTGTTAGTTCTTCCACCCGAAGCTGTTGACTTACAAGAGGGAACTGCTTATACCGGTATATATCCTACTAGTAAAAAGTGTCAAAACCAATCAGAATGTCAGGAAATGTGGCAACTTGACATGTTTTACAGCAGAGCTACCGTCTGAATCGCCAGCGGAAAATTTAAATTCCAGTTAGTCAGTCCGGCGTCAAATATGTCTGTGGTTGGCAGCAATGAATTTAATAATCGCGCCCTCGATGGCGTAACTAAATGTTTATTGGGTATCGCTTATACTAAGGGCTGGCAAAGGTTAGTCTTGGGTCGAGATTTCCGTATGTTAGAAGAGTACAATGCATTTATAATGTACTGAACAAAGAGAAAACAGTAAACACGTTGCCAAATGTATGAAATTAACCGAGAAACTGTGCACATTGCTAAGAAACGTGGAAGGGGATATAGCGGATTTGTCGCAGTTGACCGGTTGACCCAATCAGTACCGCTGTCAGTACTTAAAATTTTAGGGTAAGGTGTACATTATGCGTTCAGTTTCACGATTTAATTACGTCTCGTGATACTATATTTGTTTATTTATTAACGAGTCGTTGTAGTTTTCCCTATAGCATGAAAATTTTTAAGTGCAAGTTAGAAACGCTTGCATTTTTGATAAAAATAAGTGGAATTGAGTTGGTGGTCGACAGTGGTCGCGCTATTAGAACTCAAAAATTCAAAAATCGATATCTCGAAATCTATTAGAAATAATTGATTGTAGTTTTTCAAAAACTTTCTTCTTTTTTTTCTTTATAAATAAAAAAGTTACGCGATTACTAAAAACTGCTATGCACTAAAAGTAAATGAATGGGTTGTTTAAGATTTTTGAATGGAAAAAAAACAATCTAATCGAATTTTTCTTATGTAAACATATTGTAAATGATCCGATCTTCAAAATAAAAAAAAACTTCAATATCTAAAGTGGTTCTTAAGTTTTGGCGTGTTATCTGTTAAAAAGTCTTAAAAATAAGCTGTTTGCGATCGTGATTTTACTTTACTTGATAGGGAAAGGCGTACCGGCAACAACGCAACAGTACACCGTCGCATTTCTCTCACTCCGACTTAATAAGATCCCTATGCGATTTACTTCCACACATGTAAATACCGACCCAACAGTAACAGTTGCCAGCACGGTATAACGATTGTAAAAATTGGTGTTTTATGGGGTGTTGTGTCTCCCCTTTAGTTAATGTCTTTGGCTCATTCGTCTTATTGTCTTATCTTTTTATTCAAAGCTATTTGCACTAAATATGCTTTTTACTAAAGATATTGACTGAAATTCTAATTATACAGGTAAACCCCCATCTCCTTGCTACGAACCAGGCGACACCTACGATTCCCGTTTTGGACCCCTAAGTTCGTCGTACGAAGAGTGCCGTGCCGAGGCCGTCGGTTTGTATCTAAGCTTGGAACCAGAAGTACTATAATATTATATCTAAATAGAGACGAAGTTAACACTACCGACATTTACAGGTATTAAAAATATTCGGCCATGAAGGCAGTCAAGCGGAAGAAGTAGTCTACGTCAATTGGTTGTCACTGATATGGGCAGGAGCGGGTCGTGGTTTGGAAGTGTGGTCACCTGGTAGGGGATGGTTGCAAGCTCATGCTCAGGTATACACAGGGTGTCCCATTATCCTGTGTTTTACAGGGTTTCTCGTTTATGAGTTGAGATACAAAGATGCGGTTTTCGCATTATTTGCTACTTTTTTATGAAACTAAAAATGCTACACACAGATGTGGCCTAGCTTTTTTAGTTCCTAAAATACAGGGCGAATTTTAAATTGTTGCATTTTTTGACTCCCCTTGTATCTCACTTATCGAAAAGGTGGAAATTGTGTTCCGTAGAGTTTTTCACGTAGCAAAAAGTGGAGTAACTAGTTTTTCGCTGGGAGCTGTCATTTTCGAAATATGACTCAAATTCATATTTAAAATGGAACATTCCGTTATTTGTAATTTTTTATTTGCCCTTTTCTGAGCTTTCTAAAAACATAATATACTCTTTACTTATTTCCATAAAGTAAAAAAATGTCATATACAGGGTTGTTCACCACATACGACACGGAGTATTGTAGCTAAACGATTAGAAGTTTTGGGTTTGTTGAACGACCATTAGAGCTACAATTTCAAAATAATTTTACAATATACAAAGCGTCCCAAATAAGTAAAAAATATTATAGTTGTATTTTTTTAAATGGAACACTCTGTATATTATTCTTTTTTTAGATTCTCCGATTGAAATAAAGGTAAATTTGATTAGGGTTTATCACACTTAAATCTTAAACACTTTTGCAATAATTTTACATACAGTGGGACTCAGTTACGAGAAACCCTGTAAAACACACGAAAATGGGACACTCTGTACATTTCCATTAATTTATTTTACAATTGAACAATTAACAATAAATAGTATTTTCGAATTAAACGAAGTAAAATAAAAAAATAAAACGTTACTTTTTATTAGGCTAGGTATGTTATATCCAGAGTTCTTATTGAAGCAGGCGTGGTAAAAGTGACACAACCCAGCGAAAACGATCTCCTGATCACTTTGGATCGGTCAGCTATCATGGGAGCCGGAAAAGAAGCTATAGGAAAGTTCCTGCTTAAGTTACAGATCTACAAAGCAACCGGAAATATAGAAGAAGCGGAGAAAATGTACAATCATTATTCAACTGTAGAGGTAAAAATAAAATAATACACTAATTATAGTAGGCCAGGAGGAAAATAGGGTATTACCTCCGCATTCTTGACACCCGCACCGATTGACGTGCAATTTTAACAGTGAATGTAATGTAAGAAACAAAAGTTACATAGTAGCGATGTGTACTTTCACCCTAGGGGTGAGTGCCACCTCTTCTGGGGGGTGAAAAATATATCACCCATTTTAATTAAAAAATCAATAAAGGGATGAATTCTAAGCAAAAAATGTTCTGTAACCTTTTTTCAGAAAATTAATATTTTCCGAATTATTTAGGAAAATGTAGCTTTTGGAATAACGAATCAATTCATTTTTCGTTGATTACTGTAGGTGTAATAATAGCCGAGTTATCACTTTGTAAACGTGATTTTTTATTTTTCGAAAACTAAATTGCAACCTTTTACCGTAAAATAATGGCGAAAGAACACATTTTTCGAAGAAAATGAATATGACCTTTTTTAAAGTGTTTGAAAAGGCTTTTAAAGGTCTTTTCAAGTTCGTAGCTCAAAAATTAGCGGATTATGATAAAAATAAAACAGTCACCTCATTTTTCCGGAAAAAAATTAACAACAAAATCTATGACTAAAATCATAAAAATAAAAACTATCAATTTGTAGGAAATTACACGGGCTACAAATTAACGTCTATAGTTGAACAGTCTTAAACTCTTCATTTTTACGAGATTTTTGGGTTTTAAGGGCTTAAAGGAGGTGGTCCTTACACGCAAGTCAAACTAAAAAACGTAATATCTACGAAATGTAGAGATCTACAGAAAAAATTGAAAGAGAGCAAAAATATTGCAAAAAACGACCTTCAATTTTACCCTGTTACATTTTTTACGTATATTGCTTAGTTTTTGAGATATGTAAAAAATTAAATTTTTTAAAAAATAGAAAATAAAAAATTTTCATTATTTTCAACTTTTTTCCAAATTTAGGTATTTTAAACCGCTCGAACTTGCAGAGCCCATTGTTAGTACCTAAATATAGCCAACTGTACATGTATTACGTTTAGTTTTTATTTTTATGATTTTAGTCGTAGATTTTGTTGCTAGTTTTTTTTCCGAAATAATGAGGTGACCATTTTATTATTATCATAACTCCGCGAGTTTTTGAGCTACGAACTTTTTTAAGAAAGCATTTAAAAGATAAGACTTTTTCAAGCACTTTAAAAACCGTCATATTCATTTTCTTCGAAAAAATTAGCCCTTTCGCCATTATTTTACGGTAAAATGATGCAATTTAGTTTAAAAAAATAAAAAATTTCCTTTACAGAGTGATAACTCGGCTATTATTACACCTACGGTAATCAACAAAAAATGGATCGTTTAGTTATTCCAAAAGCTTCATTTTTGCTTTATGATGAGTTTTGCGATAAAACGCAAGGTTTTTGAGTTATTTGGAAAAATGGAAGCAGTTTTAGATGAAAAATCAACATTTTCACCTAAATAACTAGGAAAATATTAATTTTCTAAAAAAATGTTATAGAACATTTTTTGCTTAGAATTCATCCCGTTGTTGATTTTTGCAATGAAAATGGGTGATTTATTTTTCACCCCCGAGAAGGGGTTGCACTCACCCCCAGGGTGAAAACACACATCGCTACTTTGTAACTTTTGTTTCTTACATATATATTTCTATTCGCTGTTAAAATTTCACGTCAATCGGTGCAGGTGTTCAGAATTCGGACTCTAAAACCCTCGCTTACTGGCCTATAGCTACAATACACAAAAAAAATGCTTAACTTTTAACGCTAGACTCGCGTTGTGCTAACCATCTTGGCATTGGCAAAACGAATACAAACAAGAGCAATCGAGCGTAATAATAAATTCACTAGACTAGACCAATTGGAAAGGAGTTTTATATAGTTATTTATGTATCAAGGGAATTATAGGGATGTTAATTACTGTAGGCAAAGTTTCTGTCCCAAGGGACAATAATTTATTATCACTCTATAATTTCCGTAGTACATACGAGGCATGTTTTTTAAGTAAGTACCGTTTTGCGATTCCGCCGCCGCAGCGCTACGGTCGGCGTTCCGCGCATGCGCGCTGGTTACCTACATCTCTTGTCTATGCACAGACGCCAGTACAGTCTGATTCTTCATTGTATACGTTGTTTATTGAGTGTTTAAGATGCCTCCGACAATCGTGAGCCCCGCCGATTGTGAAGTACGGGCTGTCATACGATTTCTTAGTGCTAAAGGCGTAAAACCGATCGATATTCATCGTGAGATCTGTGAAGTTTACGGACAAAACATTATGAGTGATGGAATGGTAAGGAAATGGGTGAGAGCATTTAAAGATGGCCGCACAAATGTGCATGATGAAGAACAGGTGGGCGTCCTTCGGTCGTTAATGAAGATTTGGTGCAGAAAGTGGACGAAAGGTGAAAGAAAACAGACGCTTTACAATTTCGTCATTGTGCGACTACTTTCCTCAACGTTCTCGTAGTGTTTTTGTATCGCATTGTGACCGAGAACTTGAATTACCGGAAATTGTGTTCACGTTGGGTTCCGAAAATGTTGACGGATTTGCACAAAACCCAACGTTTAGGCAGTGCATTGACTTTCCTTGAGCAGTACCACAATGAAGGTGAAGATTTTTAGACAAAATTGTTACTGGTAACGAAACATGGGTGGCCTACGTCACACCAGAATCGAAACAACAGTCCATGGAATGGCGACATTCATCATCACCCAAAACAGTGAAGTTTAAGCAAACAATTTCTGCCCGGAAAATCATGTGCACAGTTTTTTGGGACAGAAAAGGAGTATTGCTAGTGGAGTTTCTGCCTCGTAATGAGACAATCAATGCAGCATCTTATTGTGAGACATTGAACAATCTGCGCCGTGCAATCCAAAACACAAGACGTGGCAAGTTGAGTAAGGGTATTGTTTTGCTGCGTGACAATGCCCGTCCACATGTGGCTAATCGGACCAAAGATCTCATCAAATCTTTTAAATGGGAAACTCTAGATCATCCTCCATACAGCCCTGATCTGGCGCCCAGTGACTACCATTTATTCCTGCACTTGAAGAAACACCTGGGCGGTCAGCGTCTTCAAGACGATAACGAGGTCAAAACAGTTGTGATACAGTGGTTAACCAGTCAGGCGGCAGAATTTTATGAGGAGGGTATTGAAAAACTGGTGCCACGTTATGACAAGTGCCTCAATATTCACGGAAATTATGTAGAAAAGTAGATTAAGGTACAGGCTTTCATGTAAAAATAAAATTATTGCGATATCTTTGCACGTTTTTTTTAATTCCAAAACGGTACTTACTTAAAAAACATGCCTCGTAGATATGTTATTACTTTATTTTTTTACTTAGCGCAACTAAGACGATCTAAGCTTACATTAGTTTAGTAAGAAATAAAGCATATGATCACAGAATATCTAGCTACGCAACAGAAAAATACTCGAAATGAAAGAGCTAAAATTGCACAAATAAAATACTAGATGGCGCGACAATATCATAATCAGAATATAATTGAAAATTTTCAACTTTCGGTTTTGGATCGACGTAGATCGACGGCACGTCGATGGCCTTGAAGCTCAGCTAAAAATGCACAGTTGCCAGATTCAAACAGACTTTAATTGGCATTCCATTCTTCTTCTGGTGTATAATAATTTCTTTCTATTCTTCGTTTCTTGTCAGATACACTTATATTAATTATTCGTTTGGTTTTTAAAATAGTTTTAATTTTATGTATATTATTAGAAAACATATGCTCTCAAAATACATTTTTAATATACACTACTTTATTATGTTAACTAAGAAAATAACTTTAACTACCTTTAAAATTAATAATATACAGGGCGATTGATAGTGATATTTATTAATGCTGAAACGTTAGTAATGAAATATGAGTTTAATAATAATGGAAATAATTTATTAAAATGCAGTACAAAAAATGTTAATTGACTAAAAAAATACTATAATAACAATTTTTTTCTGTTTGCCACGTTATTTATATAGACCTAGGTAGATTTTAAAAAGTGACACAGGTAAAATTAATAATATATTAGTTCGGCATAAAAGTTGCTGTCACGACATCGTATAATAAATTAAAACTCATAAAATAAATTAAAATTATTAATTAAACAAATCTTTATAAAGAAACACAAGTATATCAAATTTGGGCCCAATCGAGAGACAGGAAATGGTATTTAATATGGTACTACATTATGGTACTATATTGATATGCTTCATGGTACCATAATATTGCAATGTCATCAAAAATACGCAAGTATAATCAAATATGAACCCAATCGATCGTCAGGAAGTGGTATCGTAATATGATACTATATTAAGGTACCACTTTATATATGCATCATAGTACCATCATATTACAATGTCACCGAAGATACTTACTATACCAAGTTAAGCCCAATCGAACGCCAGGAAATGGTATCGTATATGGTACCTCTTGATATGCTTCATGGTACCATAATATTGTCATCAAAAATATTCAAGTATATATCAAATATGAGCCCAAATGAACGTCAGGAAGTGGTATCATAATATGGCACTATAGAAGGTACCAGTTTATATGCTCCATCGTGCCATCATATTACGATGTTACCGAAAAAACGTAGTATACAAAGTTTAAGCTCAATCGAACGCCAGCAAATGGTATCGTAATATGGTACTACATTATGGAACCCCTTGATATGCTTCATGGTACCATAATATTGTAATGTCATCAAAAATACGCAAGTATAATCAAATACGAGCCCAATCGAACGTCAGGAAGTGGTATCGTAATATGGTACTATATTAAGGTACCACTTTATATGCATCATAGTACCATCATATTACAATGTCACCGAAGATACTTACTATACCAAGTATAAGTCCAATCGCACGCCAGGAAATGGTATCGTATATGGTACCTCTATCGTGTATGGTACCTCTATGTACTATTATGGTACCTCTTGATATGCTTCATGGTACCATAAATATTACAATGTCACTGAAGATACGTAATATACCAAGTTTAAGCCCAATCGAACGCCATGTATCGTAATATGGTACTATATTACGATATCACTTGATATGCTTCATGGTACCATAATATTGCAATGTCATGTAAAATACGCAAGTATATATCAAATACCGTATAATACCGAAAAAAACGGCGTCCAGTTAGCTGGGAAAAGACGATCGATGACATTTCCCATATAAATTTACACATAAAATGACAGCGATTATCATTTCATAGCCATGGCTAACGCCGTTTTTTCCCGATCATACGGTATGAACACAATCGAACGTCAGGAAGTGGTGTCATAATAGTAGAACAATACTTATTATATTGTCGCCGAATTACAATCAAAATTCAGGATTCAGTTAGAATCAAACGTCAGGAAGTGATTTTAATTCAGCTCGTAAGATTTAACTCGAACTAACATGGCAAGTTAATTACTTTGAAAAAATAGCTCTAATGTATTTTAATATGTTTAAATGATGTAGCAAATTTGAAGCTAGGCTTTATCAGGAAATATTACAATATAAATTACACAATGGCAACACTGCATAAAATTCTTTTAAATTTCGTTTGTAGAAAACTGTTTTCTTTTAAATTTATCGCCCTCTGTTATGTAGTAGTGAAACTACCACATCAAACTATCTGATTTGGAGACAGGCTTTTAAAGCCTGTCTCCTTTTGAGACCTACGATTTTATACATGTAACGAGGCTTCTGTTGCGTAGCTAGATATTCTGTGATATGATTGCCTGTATCACTGCCTGATACATTTCAAAAACTGAAATTTGCGTTATTCTTTTTATTTTCCATTGCAGGAACCTTGGTTGAGCTGGAGATCCATTGTCCTGGCCAACAAGCAACCGAGGAAGATTTTCGTGCAGGCCAACACTTTCGTGAAGGACAACGAAGTTCAACTGAAGCAATACGAGCCGTCCATGGAGGGCATGATCCAATCTTGGGTGGACAGATTCGAAAATAAGAGCAATATCTACAATTACATTATGGAATTGACATCAAAAGATGCGCAACATTTCTAAAAAATGTTCCTTTTCTTTTACTTTTTATTAAAAAAATATACGTGAATATACAGAGGGTTGTTAACGGTAAGTATCGTATTAGTGGTATTTATGGAGATTTGCTCATGATAATTTTTTTCTTTTCTCATTTTTTACCCAGTAAAAGAGCATTCATATATCTGGCATAGCTGCGTGACCAAAATTTGCATATGCAACCAAAATTTCAGGTTTTTAGCATGCCTAAGTAATTCTTCATAAACGTCCAATTTGATACTTATGGTTAATAACCCTATACAGGGTTGTTCACCACATACGACACGGAGTATTGTAGCTAAACGATTAGATTTTTACAAATTTTAAGTTTTGGGTTGGTTGAAGGACTATTAGAGCTACAATTTAAAATTATTTTTACAAGATACAGAGTGTCCCAAATAACTAAAAAATATTATAGTTGTATTTTTTTAAATGGAACACCCTGTATATTATTCTATTTTTGGATTCTACGATTGAAATAAAGGTAAATTTGCTTATTAATTAAAACAATTTAAAAGTATGTAATTAACTAAAATTTTTGGTGTTTTTGGTCGAAAATAATGGTGGGATATTTAATTGGTATACTCTTTTACAAAGATTTAAATAGTTTTTTTTATATGCCAATGGGTTGCAATATTTACCACCTGTATATTTTGTACATATATGGTGCTATAAAAAAATCTGAAATGTCAATATTCCATGGGTATATTGATAAATGAGGTCTAAATTATAAGGTAACGCATTTTCTACGAAAACTCGAAGGGATGGGTAAAAATGGTATAATACAATTTGATAAATAATTACATTGTGCATCTGATTCACGTAAAATATATAGGGTGTTCCATTTAAATTAAACAAGTTATAGCCGTTTAAAGCTAGTAATTATTTAATATAAATTTTTGGACAATCTGTATAAGGTAGTAAAATGTTTATTATTGCAACACAATATCTGATCAATAAATAATCTTCAGTAAATATTTAGTATTACAAACTTTGATACCCTTGGAGAAATTAAGCCTTAAAATTTTTACTGCAATTTCATAAAATTGAAAATATTTCAGAAACGGTAAGGTTTAAGTGTGATAAACCTTAATTAAATTTACCTTTATTTCAATCGTAGAATCCAAAAATAGAATAATATACAGGGTGTTCCATTTAAAAAAATACAACTATAATATTTTTTACTTATTTGGGACACTCTGTATCTTGTAAAAATAATTTTAAATTGTACCTCTAATAGTCCTTCAACGAACCCAAAACTTAAAATTTGTAAAAATCTAATCGTTTAGCTAGAATACACCGTGTCATATGTGGTGAACAACCCTGTATAGTCCAAGAAAAGAGGCTTTTAAATACGAAGTTTTGGTAAAAACTTGAATTTTTGATATAATTTACTTTGAAATATCCCAAAACGAATAATTGTGAAAGATTTTTTTTAAATTTACCTCCGAGAAGTGGTGAAATAAATAAATATTTTTTTTTTAAATTTTGGAGAAAAGGTAAGCCTAACCTAACTAGAAAAAAAACTTCAAATAAAAGTTATGGAGCGTTAAATTTTACATAGAAATGGTCCCTATACTGTTTTTGCTCAGATTAAAATTAACCGAGATAGGGTGGCTAGAAGCTAGGGGATGAAAGTAGATGGGGATGTAGTAGTAGTCTCTGAAAACTTCATATATTTAACATTTTTATTCAATTTGCTTGGAAAATTATAAATTTCAACCAAGATTTTTTTTACCCACCCTATCTCGGTTAATTTTGATTTGAGCAAAAAAAGTATAGCCACCATTTTTATGTAAAATTGGACGCTCTACAACTTTTGAACTTTTTTTTAGTCCTTACTGTTTCTCCGAAATTTGGAAAAAATAATTTTATTTATTTATTTCACCCCTTCTTGGGGGTGAATATAAAAAAATCTTTAACAATTCGTTTTTGGACCTTTTAAAATAACTTATATCAGAAATTCAAATTTTCACCAAAACTTTGTATTTGAAGGCCTATTTTCCTGGACTAATAGAGTATTATTTTATTTTTTATCAACTATGATCATTTTTATACTTATGTGCCTAAGTATAATTAAATATTTTATAATATGTTAATATTTGATTACCTATCGAAATATAACATTTTAATTAAAAAACATTGTTTTATTTTACTATAATCCACTAGTTACTGTCATTTTTTTGGATAGACTTTAGCATAAATTTTAGCAACTTTGCCCTAATGAATCTCATTAAACCCTATTTAACTATTACTCTTTTTCTTACTTCTCAATGTACAGGGTGAGTCAACAATAAAGTGGTGAAAGGGTGACAAACATGTTTTTTCAACGTGTCCGTATTTTTATCGTATTATTAAATTCTGCCGTAAAATGATATAACTTTTTCTATGTATTATATATACCGTATGATCGAAAAAAAAACGGCGTCCAGTTGGCTTAGTGAAATGACGATCGATGACATTCCCCATATAAAATGATAGCGATCTTCATTTCATAGCCATCGCTGACGCCGTTTTCTTTTTCGATCATACGGCATCTAAAATTTTTTGTTGTAATATTTAAAAAATGTTAAAATTTCAGTATGGCATAAACATTTAAAGACGCTATTTCTTCTAAAGTTCGAGCACCCAAATTTCGTACGAGTTTTTAATTTAAAATAATCCAAATTCGTTGATTTATTTTGAACACCCTGTAGTATCTAATTCAGATTTATTTACGTTTTTATTCCCATCTCTCTAAAACTACCAAATTTGAGTAAACCAACTTCAGAAACAATAGTGACACTGATAATTTCTTACCATACTAAAATCTAAAATTTTTAAAAGTGAATTAGCTGAAAACGTTATACACTTAAATCATTTTTCATAAATCAAATAATGAACTTTACTATTGACTTTTGAATTAAAATGTTGAACCCAATTTTTTGTATAAATCAGTATATTGAATAAAGATATAAAAATACTTTTTGTTTTAATCTTAGAAGTATCAATAAAACAAAATTATAGAATTTAAGTTAAGAGAAAATGGTTTTAGTAAATAAAAGAGTAAAATTCACAGGATAAATTCTTTATTAACTTAAATCAGCCTTTAAAAAAATATAAAAAGAATATTAAATTTCTCTATCGTTCAGTTTCCTCCTCTCAACCTTAATACTAAATGAAGGGTAGATTCCTTTTGGATGCTGTAGTCGGAAAGGGTTCTTCCATCTTCCAACTGTTTGCCGGCGAAGATCAGACGTTGCTGGTCTGGAGGAATTCCTTCTTTGTCTTGAATTTTAGCCTTAACATTTTCAATGGTGTCGGATGGTTCCACTTCCAAGGTGATGGTCTTTCCTGTCAAGGTTTTTACGAAGATCTGCATACCACCTCTCAACCTCAATACCAAGTGAAGGGTAGATTCCTTCTGGATGTTGTAGTCAGAAAGGGTTCTACCGTCTTCTAGTTGTTTGCCGGCGAAGATCAAACGCTGTTGGTCTGGTGGAATACCTTCTTTGTCTTGGATTTTAGCCTTGACGTTTTCAATGGTATCAGAGGCTTCTACTTCCAAAGTGATGGTTTTGCCAGTCAAGGTTTTTACAAAGATTTGCATACCTCCTCTTAACCTGAGTACCAAGTGAAGGGTAGATTCTTTCTGGATGTTGTAGTCTGAAAGAGTTCTGCCATCTTCCAGTTGTTTACCGGCGAAGATCAAACGTTGCTGATCTGGAGGAATTCCTTCCTTGTCTTGAATTTTGGCTTTGACATTTTCAATGGTATCAGAGGGTTCTACTTCTAGGGTGATTGTTTTTCCAGTCAAGGTTTTTACAAAGATTTGCATACCTCCTCTTAACCTGAGTACCAAGTGAAGAGTAGACTCTTTCTGGATGTTGTAGTCTGAAAGAGTTCTGCCATCTTCCAGTTGTTTACCGGCGAAGATCAAACGTTGCTGATCTGGAGGAATTCCTTCCTTGTCTTGAATTTTGGCTTTGACGTTTTCAATGGTATCAGAAGGTTCGACTTCTAGGGTGATTGTTTTTCCAGTTAAGGTTTTTACAAAAATTTGCATACCTCCTCTTAACCTGAGTACCAAGTGAAGGGTAGACTCTTTCTGGATGTTGTAGTCTGATAGGGTTCTACCATCTTCCAACTGCTTGCCGGCGAAGATCAAACGCTGTTGGTCTGGAGGAATGCCTTCCTTATCTTGGATTTTAGCCTTGACGTTTTCAATGGTATCTGAGGGTTCTACTTCTAAGGTGATAGTTTTTCCAGTTAAAGTTTTCACAAAGATTTGCATACCTCCTCTTAATCTCAGTACCAAATGGAGGGTAGACTCCTTCTGGATGTTGTAGTCAGAAAGAGTTCTACCATCTTCTAGTTGTTTGCCGGCGAAGATCAAACGTTGCTGGTCTGGAGGTATTCCTTCTTTGTCTTGAATTTTGGCTTTGACGTTTTCGATAGTATCTGATGGTTCCACTTCTAAGGTGATAGTTTTTCCAGTTAAAGTTTTCACAAAGATTTGCATACCTCCTCTTAATCTCAGTACCAAATGGAGGGTAGACTCCTTCTGGATGTTGTAGTCAGAAAGAGTTCTACCATCTTCTAGTTGTTTGCCGGCGAAGATCAAACGTTGCTGGTCTGGAGGAATACCTTCTTTGTCCTGAATTTTAGCTTTCACATTTTCAATTGTGTCTGATGGCTCTACTTCCAAGGTAATAGTTTTGCCTGTTAAAGTTTTGACGAAAATTTGCATACCACCTCTCAGTCTAAGCACCAAATGTAGGGTTGATTCCTTCTGAATATTGTAGTCAGAAAGGGTCCTACCATCTTCGAGCTGTTTTCCAGCAAAGATCAAACGCTGTTGGTCTGGAGGAATTCCTTCCTTATCTTGGATTTTGGCTTTTACATTTTCGATGGTATCAGAAGGTTCGACTTCCAAAGTGATGGTCTTGCCAGTTAATGTTTTTACAAAAATCTGCATACCTCCTCTTAATCTCAATACCAAGTGAAGAGTAGATTCCTTCTGAATATTGTAGTCAGAAAGGGTTCTACCATCTTCTAGTTGTTTGCCAGCGAAAATCAAACGTTGCTGGTCTGGAGGAATTCCTTCTTTGTCTTGAATTTTAGCCTTAACATTTTCAATGGTGTCGGATGGTTCCACTTCCAATGTAATGGTTTTTCCAGTTAATGTTTTTACAAATATCTGCATACCTCCTCTTAACCTCAGTACCAAGTGAAGAGTAGATTCTTTTTGGATGTTGTAGTCAGACAAAGTTCGTCCATCTTCAAGTTGCTTACCAGCAAAGATCAAACGTTGCTGATCTGGAGGAATTCCTTCCTTGTCTTGGATTTTGGCCTTAACATTTTCAATAGTGTCGGACGGTTCTACTTCTAGGGTAATAGTTTTTCCTGTTAAGGTTTTAACAAAGATCTGCATACCACCTCTTAACCTCAGGACCAAGTGAAGAGTAGATTCTTTCTGGATGTTGTAATCAGAAAGAGTTCTACCATCTTCTAACTGTTTGCCGGCAAAGATTAAACGCTGTTGATCTGGAGGAATTCCTTCCTTGTCCTGAATTTTAGCTTTGACGTTTTCAATGGTGTCTGATGGTTCCACTTCCAAAGTGATGGTTTTCCCTGTCAAGGTTTTTACAAAAATCTGCATACCACCTCTTAACCTCAGTACCAAGTGAAGGGTAGATTCCTTTTGGATGTTGTAGTCAGAAAGAGTTCTACCATCTTCTAGTTGTTTACCAGCAAAGATCAAACGTTGCTGGTCTGGAGGAATACCTTCTTTGTCCTGAATTTTAGCTTTCACATTTTCAATTGTGTCTGAAGGTTCTACCTCCAACGTAATAGTTTTGCCGGTTAAAGTTTTGACAAAAATCTGCATACCACCTCTCAGTCTAAGCACCAAATGTAGGGTTGATTCCTTCTGAATATTGTAGTCAGAAAGAGTCCTACCATCTTCTAGTTGTTTACCAGCGAAGATCAAACGTTGCTGGTCTGGAGGAATTCCTTCTTTGTCTTGAATTTTTGCCTTCACGTTTTCAATGGTATCTGATGGTTCCACTTCCAAGGTAATGGTCTTTCCAGTTAATGTTTTTACGAAAATCTGCATACCTCCTCTTAATCTCAATACTAAGTGAAGGGTAGATTCCTTCTGAATGTTGTAATCAGAAAGAGTCCTACCATCTTCCAACTGTTTTCCAGCAAAGATCAAACGCTGTTGGTCTGGGGGAATGCCCTCCTTATCTTGGATTTTGGCTTTTACATTTTCAATGGTATCAGATGGTTCGACTTCCAAAGTGATGGTCTTGCCGGTCAAAGTCTTCACGAAAATCTGCATTCCTCCTCTCAATCTCAGTACTAAATGAAGAGTGGATTCCTTCTGGATGTTGTAGTCGGACAAAGTGCGTCCATCTTCCAACTGTTTACCAGCGAAGATCAAACGCTGTTGGTCTGGAGGAATACCCTCTTTGTCTTGAATCTTAGCCTTCACGTTTTCAATGGTATCTGAAGGTTCTACCTCTAGGGTAATAGTCTTACCAGTCAAGGTTTTTACGAAAATCTGCATTCTGTAACAATAAAATTAAAATTAGATTCAAGTAAACGACCTTAATCGTTTCTACGCATTAAAATTATCAGAAAGTTGATTTGCCAGCATACGCCCATTCGCCATTTTGAATAAAGATTTTCGAGAATATATCGTTTTTTACGCAATAATACAGCAAAATTATTAGTATATCTTAAGAAATAAACCGTAAAATGAACAAATCTACTAACTTAAACTAGTTTAAACCTTACAAAGTTCTAAGGAATTGTATGTGACATCACTTGAAATTAAAATTTTGTTGTTGAAAACAAAGAAAAAGTCGCTTAGAGACGATACGGCAAATTTCAAATGATTGTTCGACGAAACAAAATAAAATCGAGATAACTTACCTGAATATTTAATAAAATACAGCTGCAATAATCACAATCACTTAAAAACAACTTTTCAACTCGAAATATCACTGAAATATGGCGGCTTCCCGTTCAGAAATTGCTTTTATAACCTTCCCTTCCCCCACCTAGAATTTTCTAGATTTAATCGCGTCGCCAGTTCTCATAATCTTGAACCCTTTTCTGAATTTCAGTAAAATGTTCTAGTAAATAAAAAACTGTTGTTTTAGTTTAAAGATATTTAAAATGCAATGTAAAATCGTTTAAAATATGTTAAAAATTTTAAGTATTTAAGCCAGAAATTAATTATTTAATTTAGTTATATTTGCCATATGAAAAGTTTATGTTGGCAGAACTGTTCGGAAAAAATATGACGTAGCGAAAACGCTCATCCTTTGTGTTTTGAATTTATCGATCAGCTGATGCTGATTCGGATTTTAAATTCTGTTTTTATTTTATTTTTAATCCGATCCTAATGTTATTGTTGTTATTAAAAATATTGACATTTTTAATCGTATTATTCTCATCAAAAGGCTTTGACCGGTGGTATTTTTAGTAGAGTTTAGTATTGCACAATAATGCAATTTTCTTATTTTTTATGAGAAACATTTAGGTAAATAAATAATAAATAAAAATAAATACTATGATAGAAAATATTTTTCATGTTTTAGTAAATATTCTGAAATAGGTATGCATTTCGCTGCCAAAAAATATTGTTGGATTCTAAAATTATTTATTAGATAGGTAGGTACGTAGGTATTTATTAAAATCTGTTACTCATCTTTAATTTCTGTTACCCATAATTTTTGAATTATTTTTATAGTACCTATTTGTTATAAATGTTTTTTGGGTAAAATATTATAATAGGAATATAGGACACATATTCTAAAAATACATATTTTAACAATTTCTAGAATTTAAATACGCGGAAGTTGAAAAATATTATGAATGGGGAATTCGAATGAAAATAAAAACAAAGAAAAATGTCCTTGAATTGACTTTAAAATAGAATGATTGCGTCTCAAGATTTTCGAAAAATTGATAAAAAATAATACTTTATTTTGTTACTTTAACCCCGTTTACCAAACTAATTAAATATAGATAAGAATTATCATTGGAATTTTGTACAACGACGCAAAAAGTATGATCCTGATTGCAGATAATCAAAGATATTTAAACTTGAGTTTAAATAATTTTGTAGACAATAGAGAATAGATATTTTATGTTTATTTGAATGACTTACATTTTTTTATAATCTTAAAAATGAACGTGTATGTTTACCTACCCCAGAAAAACGTATCTACCTTTGTTTATATCCTTTTGTTATATTTATTTTTACGGCCATATAATAACTTAAAATTTAAACCAGCTACATCAGAATAATATGTTACAAACAAACCATAATTTAATAACAGTTTCTTCCTTTTTTTCCTTCTTTTTGATGCAGAATTAAAAAATTAACAATTTTTGTGTTTAAAATAGGAAATGCAATCCCGCAAATGCTGGATCCCGCATTGCGGGATCCCTCTGAGATTCCGCGGAATTAAAGTTGCGGGATTATTTTTAAAAAAGATTTTTGGATGCGGTTTGGACCAGGTTTTAGATGCATCTATTGTGATTAAGATGCTATATGGTTTTCGAAAATATATTTAGTGAATTCTCGTATACAGGGTGTTTTATAAGACTGTGAAAATTTGGTCAAGAATCTTTTTTACCGCAGATTTATAATTTTTAAAAAATCGACATTTTTACCAAGTACGACTATAATCTGTATTGAAATTAGAAAAACCAATTTGATCGTTTTTTTTATTTTTGTTTTGTTTTAAGGATGGCTATTTTTTTGTTTTAAGGACAGGCTATCTAATCCAATTAACACCACAAAAGGGTTGCGACAAGGATGCAGCTTATCTCCTCTGATCTTCAACGCTTACGTCGAAGTAGCCCTTAGGGAATGGAAGACGAAATGTCAAGGTATGGGAATACCCATTGGGGACAACACACTATTTACCCTGAGCTTTGCAGACGATCAGGTCGTGATTGCGCAGGACTCATACGATCTAGAGTTCATGACTAAGAGGCTTTATCAAGAATACAACAAATGGGGACTTCAGGTTAGTCTAAAGAAGACCGAATACTTAGCTGTCAATTCCAACGCTCGTTTTGAAGTCTTCATTAATGATAACGTCCAGATTCAACAAGTAGACAAATTTAAATACCTGGGTGCTACTATCAACAACGAGGGTTTGGGCAAAGAAGAAATACAAACCCGAATTCAGAAGAGCCACAGCCTCTGGTGGGACCGAAACTTATCTGCAACAACTAAAAAGAGACTTGGAAGAACATTGGTGGAGTCAGTTCTTTGCTATGGTTCAGAGCTATGGACTCTGAGTGCAGACGCGAAGCGCAAAATCCAAGTTGTTGAAATGCACTACCTTAGAAGAAGTGCAGGTATATCTAGGATGGAAAAAAAGACAAGCATCGAGGTGAGGCGTATCATGAATGCATCGGAGGAGACAGTACTGGATCGAATCGAAAAATCCAGCTTAAAATGGTTTGGACATGTTCTGCGTATGCCGGAGAACAGGTGGCCAAAAAGAGTTTTTCAATGGGCTGCCCAGGGCAGAAGAAAGAGAGGTAGACCTAGAAAAGCCTGGAGCGGAACGGTTACGGAAGCAATGGAAGCTCGTAACCTAGAAGCTGATGACGCTCTAAATCGAGATGTGTGGCGTAGGGTAACGGGAAGGCAGCAATAGGCTGTAGTTGGAAATGAGTATTAAATACTTAAACCAAATCCCGTTTATATATATATATATATATATATATATATTGTTTTAAGGAAAATACGACGTTTTTTTGAAAAATATGCATTTTTAGTCATATAGTATCCTAAAGTCATATATAGTCCTAAATGGTACAAAAAGCTTTGTACATTCTGCATCTGCCAAAAAATTATTCATATAGAGTGTATCTAGAAGCAGATAACTAACACAAGTTAAAACATCAGAATAATATTTTTATTTATAAAATAAGTAGATAAATTATAATAAAATTTAAGTTCATTTAATATTAAATATATTTTACAACACTCTGTACCATAGACTTAAAATAAAATATAGACTACACTATTTACATCTCAACGCGGACAAACAACCTTTTTTGTACACATGTTTACTTCTGGGTACAGTCGACCGAGCCTTCCTCATCCAGCCTATGTTGTCACGTCTTTAATATTATCAATATTTTTTTTCTTGTTATACACATATATTGAGATATTAATACTACAGTTTAATAAAGTAGGTTTTAATATTCCATAGATGTATTAAATAGTCCTTATACTACTAAATTATAAGTCGGATACTGTTTAATAAGGATAAGTTCTTTACAATATGACAACAACACCGATTAGAGGCGAGGGAGCCTATTCATTCATTTATTACCTTGTAGTACGTGTCGCACGTGCGGTAAAGCTTTGTTGCCGCTATCTCCCCGGCTGTATTAACGCATTTTCTTAGCTTGTAGTCCTTAAGTGTTTATTTTATTGACTTTTTCTGTTCAAAAACTATAAAATATGGTTCGCCAGTGCCAAATTTGCAAGAAATTTGACTTAAATAATCCATTTAAGTCTTGAAACGACTTTTGACCGGTAGGCAACTCTCAATTTACCCATTGGCAGTCAGTGGCGTTGTTGTAGAAAGGCGCTTATTTAGATAATATTTTAGTAAAATGAAATTCTGAATTTTTTCTTCTACATTACATTATTTACTTACTTACATTGTAACAAAATCATAATTATAACCCTGTTAATAATTAATAATGTTTTTATTAACAATATATTCCGGTTTATTCTAAAATTATCTTCAGAATCTAAAATAACATACAAGAATTTTAAAATGATATTACATTATGAAACAATATTTTTAATATACCGGGTCGTCTCAAAAGTGGCTCAACCCTATAACTTTTTTATTTTTCAGATAAAAAAAAACAGATTTGTATGTTAGTAGGTATATGACATAAATTAGGATTTATTGACGTATTCAATTGTTTTTGGTCTCTTCCTGTTTCACCGAAATGATTACATCTTTTGATTTTTAAAGGCACCCTCGGTATATTGCTACTTTATTCGATAAAAAATGACACTCTGAATAGAATGACATATCATATGTCAACTTTTGACATTGTCGCTTAAAAACATATCCTATTTTAAATTTCAATCCAATTTTTTTCAATCCACTAAGTTTTAATCAAGGAGCCTTGGAAAATAGTTTTGATCGTCTAATAGGTTTCGTGTCTTGTCTAGGCCGGTTAAAAGATGTATAAATCGTATTTTTAATCATACATATGTCAATTTTTTCAAATGGAACAAGGGTGACTCATTAGCATATTTGGAAAAAGCATTTTTTTATGAATATATTGATACCACACACTTGGTATTTCGAGTCAAATTGTCGCTATGTGAACCGCGTGTTACAATTACAGTTAAACCATATGCGAAAATGTCAAAAGTTGACATATGATATATCATTCTATTCAGAGTGTCATTTTCTATCGAATAAAGTAGAAATATACCGAGGGTGCCGTTTAAAATTAAAAGTTATAGTCATTTCCGGTGAAACAGGAAGCGACCAAAAACAATTGAATGCGTCAATCAATCCTAATTTATTTCATATACTAACATACTAAATCTTGTTTTTTTTTATTTGAAAATATAAAAACATTATGGGGGATGAGCCACTTTTGAGACGCACCCGGTATAATAAAGACAGTACCGAGTTAAATAAATGTAGTTTTTATTTTATCCACTTCCTATCACCTTCCTTGCTTTAATGGAACAGATTTATGTTTTTTTCTAATTTACATAATAAGACATCACTTAACCAGAAAAAAAATTACAACAATCATATTTTTTTCTCTCCTGTCGCCGATTCTATTATATCTGTGGAATAGATCCTGTTTTGATTAATATTAGGGGTTGTAAATGTTTAACTAAAATTAATAATTTATTATTAATTTCAAAAATTACCTAATTTCGATTATAAAATTTCTTCTATAACGTGTATTTTATTATTTTTATCCTTTTTGGACTCTAAATTGTTTTTTCTAAACTTTTATTTAAAAAACCTGTCCTAAATCTTAATAAAATATAAAAAGTTTAAATACGATATATTTTTAATTTAATTATAGCTTCATTAAAATAAAAAAAATTACCCGGCTATGATACGGAGAGTTCAGGTGTACTTGAGAAACGAAAGACAGTGTTGTGTTTCTCGGCAGAGTCGTCAGGGAACGACCGTTACGACAGAGACAACCTATCTATCGCTCGTGTCGCACTCGTTATAACCTAAAACAATAACACAACAATAACAAGACAGTGTCTGACCGCATGTTCCAGCTATTTATGAATGAGATGCTCAGTCTATATTTTATTTTAAGTCTATGCTCTGTACAGATCGGTCCAAATTTCTGTACAGCTAGTTTAAGATACGCGCTATATCAATATACATATTATGGGCCCATGCAAAATGTACAATGCCTTTTGTACCATTTAGGACCAAATATATATTGTTTACAGTGCCGCAATTTTGCGGATCCGCGGGATTGATTGCTTTAATCCCGCGGGTTTGCGGGATTGAGATTTTGGTGCGGGATTGCATTCCCTAGTTTAAAATATACAGGGTTGTTCACCATGCACATATAGTCTGTGCAACGAGAAGATCCTTGACAGTGATAGATGTGTTTGTCATTTTAATTTCAAAGTAGTTTATTTTATTTTACAAAGAAATAAGTTGGTACATCTGGAACGCATAGCAGGAAATTATTATATTTAAAATTTGACTGACAAGTAACTTCAAAATATTGTGAAAAAAACTGTATAAAACTGAAAAAATGTAATCGAGTTATTTTATTTAATAAAAAACGGTATGTGTTAATACAAAACAAACAAAAACAAAACACCACATACCAAAAAAATATAAAAAAGAACTATTTCTTACTTTCAAGCTTTATGAAACTTCCCGCATTTATGATTATATTTATCAATATAACTTATGTACAAATACAAATTTGTAATATTCCGCAGGAATAAATAAAAAAACATAAATAAAACAAACTATTTTATTAATAATAACACTTACCAGATTTTATACCTCACAGGTTGATTAATTAACTTTAATCTTAATTTTTTAAACCAGTACCTTTTGACATTATTTTTCTGCAGTACTAAAATCCATTATTTACCTATCGTGCGATGTCGATATTTTACAGCTACTCCAGTTTTTAGTATGTGTTTAGTATGGTCCTTCTACCATATTCGAGATGCACTTATCTACGACGAGATGGTATACGAACTTTATTGATAGTAACTTTATTGGTGTATCTGTATAAGACTTTCTGCCTGGACAGCGAGTATTAACCATAAACTGTGCTCTGGGTTCTACAGTTAATTTTCACTCGATTTTTCCTTAAATGGAAATGACAGTTCATTAAAAATAGTTTTTCCTCCAAGATGCAGAGGCGCAAAATATTAAAACTGTCAATATTAACAATGCAAATGTCAATATCTGACAATAATAAAATTTGATTTTTAAGTGTCACTCAGAGACGCTTTTGTTGTGATTTTACGGTTTGATTTCGTTTTGATTTGTCGAATTATTGTACAATTAAATTCCTTCAGATTTTTTGCCAGTATTCTGTTTTAGACAATGTTTTTTAAAAATGGTGGGACAATTTGTGTTTTGTATAGACTCTTATTTATTTTTTATCATGGAGTTTAATTGTTGTACACCTGGTTTCCGAAGGATACAATGGTAAGTAAATTGAACATATCTACTTACAGTTATAGATTTTTTAAATTAGTACTGCTAATAAATGCTACTTGCAGAGCAGTTATTTAATTTTTTTACGGTGCATGTAAGGAATTAAGGACGCGCGTTTTATATTAGCATGATCAGCAGATGATTACATCTGATTTAATTTGTTTTTATTATTTCAGGTCCCAAACGGAAACAAACTGGGAATCTTGCCTACACCAAAATTATATACCTAGCCGTTTCCAATTCACTTCAAAGGGAGGAAAATTATGTAAAACTGCCTGCTATTTGCTGAAAACCGCCAAAGATTAAATTATAACTGTAACAACTTAATATATGCTATTTCTAGTATTTTTAATATATTTTTTAATTAATATCCGACATATAAGAACACTTTGTATGCTTTTAATTCAGTTGATTTATCGTTTATAATATGTTCGACCTAATTAAAAGCACACAAAGTGTTCTTACATGTATGTCTAAATATATTTTAAATTAACTAAAACAACCCCCCTTCCCCGCACCCCTCTCTTCCATTAGTATTTCTTCCTCCGTCTACCAGAGGCGCCCTTGTATAATAAAATTGAAATATATTATAAGTTGCCTATCTATTTAATAGTATAAGTCTTTTATCTATGGTTGTCACAAAATTATAACGTATAATTTGGCAAGACTTTGACAAACGTCAAAAATCTAAAGGTGAGTTCATACGCATCGGCGTCCGTTTGTCGTTCATCGTTGCGTCAAACCAATAAAATTGAAATACGATCTGTCATTTTTGAAATAAACCAATAAAACTGGTTAAAAACAACAAGTGACGACGCATGACGAATTTATATTTAAACCCATCCATAGTTAACTTAAAAATTATTAGAAACTTTTTTTACTAAAATAATAAGATTGGTATGGGACGTCATCTGCTGTTCTTCTGTCATCGTCTGTCGAAATCTTACCTGAGAAAAAAAAACAGAGTATACCTACGACAGGGAGTAGGCAACAAGTAGGCAACTAAACGATTAGATATTTACAAATTGTTTTTGGTTCGTTGAAGGCCTATTAGAGCTACAATTTAAAAATATGTATACAAGATACAGTGTCCCAAATACAAATAGTAAAAAATATTATACCTAGTTTTTTTTAAAGGAACACCCTGTATATTATTCTATTTTAAGTTTCTACGATTGAAATAAAGGTAAATTTGCTGAAGGTTTATCACACTTAATCCACACGTTTTTGAAATATTTTCAATTTTGTGAAATTGGAGTAAAAATTTTAAGGCTTTATTTCTCCATTGGTATAAAAGTTTTTAATACTAAATATTTACTGAAGTTTATTTATTAATCAGTTATTGTGTTGCAATGTTGCAATAATAAAAATTATACTACCTTATACAGAGTGTCCAAAAAATTATATTAAATAATTACTAGTTTTAAACGGTAATAACTTGTTTAATTTAAATGGAACACCCTGTATATTTTACGTGAATCAGATGCACAATTTAATTGTCTATCAAATCGTATTATACCACTCTTTTCAAGTTTTCTTAGAAATCAATCAGTCCCTTCAAGTTTTCTTAGAAAATTTAATCGATTTATAAAAAAAAATAATTTTTAAATAATTATTATTTAATATAATCTTTGGGGCACTCTGTATAGGGTAATATAATTTTTATTATTGCAACGCAATATCTGATCATTAATCTTCAGTAAATATTTAGTATTAAAAACTTTAATACCCTTGGAGAAATGAAGCCTTAAATTGTTTACTGCAATTTCACAAAATTGAAAATATTTCAAAAATGGTAAGATTTAAGTGTGATAAACCTTAATCAAATTTACCTTTATTTCAATCGTAGAATCTAAAAATAGAATAATATACAGGGTGTCCCATTTAAAAAAATATAACTATAATATTTTTTACTTATTTGGGGCACTCTGTATCTTGTAAAATTATTTTTAAATTGTAGCTCTAACAGTCCTTTAACAGTACAATTAAAAAGTTTTTTGATCTAGCGGGATTTTCAACTTTACAGCTAAAGCTATCTAAAGTTTGTCCATCGAGCCACGGAAAAATTCGACAGATGACGTCCAATGTTTTCTAGAGCCGTTTGCTGGTCGGTGGTCAGTGCAGCCTCTGGGTAATCCTTTGGCAGCACCGCTATTTTCACCAGCAATAGCAGCAATTTGTCAGTTTGTCCAGCAATAGCAGCAAAGCTAGTAATACATCCCTACTTGCCTCTCGGTGTTACAGTTGAACAGACTATAGGTCAAAGTATTCTTTTCTCTGATGGAGTTGAAAAATGGATATTTAAAATAATACACAATAAGTTATTTTCTTTAAGCAATTTAATTGATGTGATGAATTTAAATTGTTTTAGATTTAAATATTTACTGATAATTCGCATTTAAAAATTTGAAAGGATTAATAAACATAGATCACTTATAAAGAATACCGTAAAATGGGGTGAATAGAAACATAGGGGTGAATAGAAACAAAATTTCTGAAAAAAATCAAATCACGATTAAAAATATTCACAGTAAAAAGAGTCGACATATCTAATTTTTCTATCATTGGTAATACACAATAAAATGTAAAAACTATATTTTTATCTGTGGCAGCACTGTTTCTGTCAATCAGCTGATCAATAAATGTGAAATCGATTTATCACCTATTTTGTATGGCGCGAAAACTTCATAAATAAAATATTTATTTTTAAAGTAATACTTAAGCTGGTACATGTAAGTTGTTATATTATATGTATTGTTAGTTATTGCTAAACCTACTTAAATATGTAATAATTATCTGTTTCTAATCACCTTGTTGGAAATAGAATAGATAAAAACCTTAACATCAATGTGTGTTTCTATTCTCCCGAATAGCAGGTGAATAGAAACACAAAAGTTATTTTTATTTAATATTTATATGCATATTTTTCAAAAATCAAATTATATGTATACGCAAAGAACAAACAAAGACCCATGTTTTAAAATATTCGGGAACATAATACCACATTTTTATCAACCGGTATATCGCTAATAGCCTACGAAACTGTTTCTATTCACCCCATTTTACGGTACTTAATATTTTGAATAAATATAAAGCTTTTTATTCAATTACAAACATTTTCTGAAACGATAAATACATAAACATGTAAGGCACATAGATAGAGTTGCTTAACATACCAATATATACCTACAGTAAAATATAACATACACATGTATATCACAAAGTTCGTTACAATTTTCTTAGAAAAATAAATATTTAATTTTTAGTACAATAATATTCGCCTTTGTTATACTAAAGGCAAGAATAAAACTATAAAATAGTGTTTAACTGTCTTTTGCAGAACAAGAAAAAAAATACATATACCCATTTAATGTATATACTAACATTTATATTAAATAAAAATTCCAAATAAATAATTCCATATATTAGTATTAAATATAAAAAAAAACAGGCGTCACAGTGGGCTTGGAAATTACCATCATCAAATATCTAAATTATATGGTGAATGTGTCATTGATTGTTATTTCCAAGCCAGCAATTAATTTCCAGTATAACATTCAATGTGCAATGACGAAATAAATTATATTTAAATAATAGTAAAAACTATCTTCAGCTGCAAACATTTATCACTATATTCTAAAAATAACAGGCTAGTAACCCAATTACTTTAGATTTGGACAAAAAAAATGAGAGTCCTTTTGAGGCAGTTGGTTTCTATTTGACAAGCAGATGATAAAATCAGTCTTGCTTTTTTCATTGTGCCATTTCTTGTGAGGAGATGGCACATGTTTTTTGAAACACCCCGTATAAAGGCCAGATTGTGACTTGTCATCTATTTGTCAAAAAATACAGACTAACTGCATCAAAAATTTCGACTATCTATTTTATTATTCTTTTGTCAACTAAGTGGTTGGGCTATAATTCCTTTAAATTAACCTTAATTTTAATTAAAAATAGTTCTTGACTAAAAGCACCTTCGTTGGACCTGTACACAAATTGATCATTGATCTAATATCAAACATTATTCATAGAAAAATACAGTATACCTCAAATATAGATATATAAAGTCAATTTAAAACAATATAAGGCTACAATAATTAATTATTAATCTATCAATTCTAGATATTTACTATAAAAAAACTAGTACTTAAAAGAAAAATATTCTCTTATGATAAAATAAAAAAATCTTAATATGATTTATGGTGGGTTCATACAGCCACATAAAATAAAATAAGAATAAAATAAAATAAGAAAGTTGGTTATATGGAATACCGTACATGCGTTCATACAGCCAAATAAAATAACAAATAAAATAAGAATTGGTTTTTAAAGCTCATCTACTTTTAGTATAACCTATAACATTTACCATTAATTAACACAACATAAATTAATAAATTTTTGCAATCAAAACAGTACAACATAATTTTAATACACTACACAAATTGTTAATATTAAAAACAAATAATTCCATTTTTACAATAATTTTTAAATATCTTTTTTCATGAAAAAGGCCACAATTCGCATATTTACCTTAAATTTTCGTTTTATTTTGGTCCATCTTATTACAAACACTAGGTATTCATTTCCCTTGAAACTCATAGTATTATTGTTGATCAAAAAATAGTAGGAGTGTAAAATTAAGAGAGACCAAAAAGTTTCATTGCATTAAATGATGTGGCTAAGGCCACCTCCTCTGGTTTTTTGTTCATGAAGGCTGCAATCATTTCCACGATTGCTGGTAGGGAACAAGGCTCATTTCGTTGAAACGTACAGTATCGATGTAAGAAAGTCGTTGATCTTAAACAAAAATAGATTTTTATAATCAAAAGATTTCAAAGTAATTATTGAAAATACTGGAAATCGTCCTTCTCTCATAAATATTTGAATACAGAGTGACTCAGGCTTGTGAACAAGCTCTATGCAGAAGCCCAAGCTGTAGAAATTAAATACATAATCTCACAATTGCCCTGCAAGAAAAGTTATGAGTCCATTCTATTAGTTTATAAACTAGCTAGCAATTTTGCTGTTTTGAATGACCAAAAATTATGGAGCTATAATATTAGCCAAAATTTCAATTTAAAAAAAAAGGACTGTACCCAGTATTTCCAATAGTTATCATAGTTTTTCATATTAAAAATACTTTAAAATGAATTACCACTTAAGTATTACTTTTAAATATGAATTACCAATTACCTTTCGGTTAAACCTTCTTTAACATGAACTGGCAACTTAGATGCTCTCGTGTTGGGATACATAAAAGGAGCATCGGTCTCAACTAAGAGCCTGTCCAGTGGAATTAAATTGTCTACTAAGAGTTTTCGCACACCAGTATCAGATTTATCTTTACATAAGTAACCTTAAAGTAAAAAATTAAATTAGATTTATTAAGTTAAACTCCATACTTAGATTTACCTGTTAATCCTATGTAAAATCCTTTGTTTAAGTAATCCAGTGCGTTTTCCACACTCCCAGTAAAGCAATGTATCACGACTGGAGGCAATTTACTACTATACTTATTTAAAATTTCAACCAAATCATTGAATGCATCTCGTTCGTGGACAAATAGAGGTTTGTTGACCTTAATTGCTAGATTTATCTGAAAATTAACATAATATTATTACAATTCATTATTCAATAACTTTAGAATGTACATGTTTTTCGAAAACAGCTTTCTGGTCTTCTGGTTCTGAAAAATTTCGGTTATAATCTAAACCACATTCACCCACTGCTACACATTCCGGGTTCTCAACTAAACGGCAAATCTCTTCCCAGGACTGATCGTCGTATGACTTAGCATCATGAGGATGAATGCCTGCAGTGGAATATAATGTTCCTGGATATATTCGGGTTAGTCTGAGGGCTTCTTTGCTTCCTTTCACTGAAGTTCCAGTTACCATAATCTTCTGAACGCCTAACAACATAAAACAATTGTAAATTAGTATGGAATATTACGCAATAAATATATTGTTTACCTGAATCTTTCGCTCTTTGTACAACAGTATCCAAATCTCTGCTATACTTCTTGTTGGTCAAGTTGGCCCCGATATCGATCAGTATGTAATTCTCGTAGCATTTTTCCATAAATATGGCTTTAAATATAACCATTCACATCATATTATTTCTCCTCATTATGACTCCTCATACAAAGCAAAATTCTTCATAATATCATAAGGTAGTTTATTAACGTAGTTTTGATGTAGTTAACGAACGAGAAAAGACGTAGTTTTTGAAGGAAAACTACACGTAGTTAATTAGGTAAATTACGTCTTAATTAACTACTTCCGAACCCTGCGTATAACCTCTATTTGTCAACTGTCAAAGTCCTGCTCCGCCCTAGTAAATTTTGGTCCTTTTTGTTTCCCAGATTGTTTTTTTTTTAACTTTGGTTGGCAACTTCGTAAAAAACTTTCTAACCTTAAATGTTAACGTCAAAAAGAATAATATATTATGCAGTTAAATGTACGTGTATAAATTGTTGTAAAATAATAGTTATTTAGTATGGGATAAAGTTTAAAAGTGTCGAGAATCATGCGGTGAGACTGTACAGAGTGTATAATGTTGTCTTATCAGTTACATCACGGTTTAGACATGGCAAGAGCGGACCCTTTGGGCAATCCGTCGTTATTGGAGGCCGGAGAAAGACCTCTGGAGAGGCCTACTGCAGAACCAGGGGATGTTAAGAATGCTATTGTAACGAGAGAAGGGCAATATCGTCTAATGACTTTAAGCGAATATTCTAGACCGGGTAGGGTCACTTACCAAGCGCAGGGCCAGGCGCCACCGCAGGTAAAGGTCTCTTTGGTCAGTTTAGGTGAACAAGGAGATAGATTATGTTTTAACCACGGAAGAGAAGTATACGTATATGAATATAAAGGTATACATAAAGCTCCCGATTTAAATAGCCCTTTAATGAATAATAAGGGATCAAATAGAATTTATCCTACATGTCACGATTTTAATGGTTTATCGAGCAAGGGAGATAATCTTACTGTATTAGTAGGTAAATTAATTGAATAATATTTATGATGATAAATAAAACTAATGTGGAGTGGTGTAAAAATGAGACATTTTTCAAAACTTTTGTATAAAATGCATTTGGTGGTAGTTCATATTTACCTCATATATATTACCTTTTTCTCATTATTACCCTTGTGTGTGTCTCAAATTTACCTCTCCAAAAAATTAGCTACCTGACTGAATATAAGTTTTCAGTAGTTTTGTATGAATGTCTCAATTTTTACCTAAATATGGCATGTCTCATTTTACCATATATCTATGTTTTTTTAACTAGGTTACAGCGATGGCCAAATTAAATTGATTGATATCGATCCAACTAAAAAAGAGGAACAGACTAAAGGACTTAACCAAGAAAGACTAATAGATAAAACTAAAGTTACTTGTGTGAGGTGGGTTCCCGGAAGCAGGTCTTTATTTCTTGCTGCTCATGCTTCAGGTATTAACATTTTTTCAAATTACAGTCTAGGAAGCATTATCGAAAAATATACCGGATGTTTCTTAAAGTTGACATATGTTATGTCATTCTATTCAGAGTGTCATTTTCTATCGAATAAAATTAAAAAAAACCGAGGGTGTCTTTTAAAATTCAAAAGTTGTAGTAATTTCCGGTGAAACAGGAAGTGACCAAAAACAATTGAGCGTCCGGATTGCACAACGACCTTAGCGCGTGGCCGCGGGCAGCCCGGTAGGCAAGCGAGAGAGCGACGCGCTGATTTAACAAAATAAATAATTTTAAACCTGCCGTCATTTCGTTAATAATTATAGTATCGTGTTGATTTTTGCATAAAAATACTCATGAGTCTTTAGCGCTTCCGACAAGCCTAAATAACTGGATTATTTTTTATATTTTCGATTTGTTTACATTGCCCGAGCATATTATAACTTTGAGATAAAAATCTCTGTTATAAATTTTAAAACTGACAGATATGAATACTAGCATTTAATTAGTTATAGATTTAGTTACAACATATTCAAAATTTAGGTCTATCGGTTTATGCTAGCAGTAATAACGAGTATAAATAAAAAAATGGTCAGTACAACGCTCGCCGTTTTTAGCGCACGTTCAGCTTTGGTTTTTAGTTTTAGCGCTATTTTTACAGAAAATAAATTCTGAACTTCCATCAAGTGACAAGAACATTATCATTGCCGATATCTCCTGGTTATAATGTAGTTCTTTTTTCAAAATATTGCATTGTTTTAGCTTAAAAAAAAACTTGAATTATGCGACTTTTTTTGCGAGAGCTACCGGAGCTGCGTTAATAAAGAGATGGCTATGTACGTCAAACATAGCCACAATAGACTGTAATTTTACGTCACGAGATTTTTTGGAAATATTGCACTTCCATTTATCCGGATTTCTACTAACTTTTGACCTTTCTTTTCGGTCGCATTTCCCTCTATTTAATAATAAATAATTCAAACAAACGCACAAATACTACTGGCAGTAAACAAGCTGTGGCAAAAATTTTCTATACTCCGTGTAAACAAAAGACTGTCGCAAATATTGTCTTTCGATTGACGTACATAGCCATCTCTTTATTAACGCAGTGCCGGTAGCTCTCGCAAAAAAGCCGCATAATTCAAGTTTTTTTTAAGCTAAAACAATGCAATATTTTGAAAAATGAACTACATTATAACCAGGACATATCGGCAATGATAATGTTCTTGTCATTTGATCAAAGTTCAGAATTTATTTTCTGTAAAAATAGCGCTAAAACTAAAACCAAAGCTGAACGTGCGCTAAAAACGGCGAGCGTTGTACTGACCATTTTTTTATGTATACTCGTTATTACTGCTAGCATAAACCGATAGACTTAAATTTTGAATATGTTGTAACTAAATGTATAACTAATTAAATGATAGTATTCATATCTGTCAGTTTTAAAATTTATAACAGAGATTTTTATCTCAAAGTTATAATATGCTCGGGCAATGTAAACAAATCGAAAATATAAAAAATAATCCAGTTATTTAGGCTTGTCGGAAGCGATAAAGACTCATGATTATTTCTATGCAAAAATTTAAATTATTTGTTTGTATTTATTATTCCATAATGTGAGTTGAGTATACTTTTTGAAACCAGCCAACTATGCCTCTCCTTGGCTCTCATCAACACCAATACATGCCTGTTGCCTTATGTTATTGCATAATGTACTTATAAGTATTAATTGTTCTCTATGTGTGCTCTATGTGTTACACTAATAGTTTTGTTAATGCTTTATATTTTTTATATTTTTTTGTATTTTTCATTGTTTTTTTTGTTATTATATTTATACATTTGATATATTAATTTAAGATAAGGTAGTAGATATTGATATTATTTGATAGGTTATACTGTAATGGTACTCGGTTAACTAAGCAGTTATTTACTGAACTTCGCCGAGGATTATTAAAATAAAGACATATTATTATTATTATTATTATTAAAATCAACACGATACGATAATTATTAACGAAATGACGGCAGGTTTAAAATTATTTATTTTGTTAAATCGGCGCGTGGCTGTCTCGCTTGCCTACTGGGCTGCCCGCGGCCACGCGCTAAGGTCGTTGTGCAATCCGGACGCTCAATTGAACACATTAATCAATACTGATTTATCTATATTTATTTATATTATCTATATTTATCTATATATTGTCTTTTTATCTGAAAAAAAAAGTTATAGGGGTGTGTCACTTTTGAAAAACACCCGGTATACAGGGTGTTCCTTAAATTCATGCTAATATTTGAAGGGGAGATTCTTGAACCTATTTTAACTTTTGAGATATAAGTTATTCTGGAAAAGATTTTTTTAGAAAATTTTACCACCCTGTATCTCAAAAGCAAAATAAAACACATTGACCATACTACGCCAAAAAAAAAAGTAAAGTGTTTTGCTTTATTGTGGTGAATTTGTATTTTATTTTGCTATTGTAAACACCAAAGGTTCCAATCCCCAACTGTAATCTGTATCTCAAAAGTTAAAATGTTTGGAATTTAGAACATACATTCATCTGAAGTTTTTTCTTAGAATATAAATATTAGCAAGTCATTAAGATCAATTAACACCCTATATAGGATTTAAAAAAATCTTACCTGTTTTAGTTTTTAGTAAGAGGTTGACACAAAATGGTTTTTAAAATGTAAAAACCTGGTAAATTCATATGTATTAAAGCCTGAACTACTAGTACGAAAAGTGAAGTACTAATAAAAAATTATCTTTTAAGGTTGTGACTCACTCTTTAAACAGTAAACAGGCATATTATATTTAAGGAGTAGATATTTTCCAGTCATCTTTTCAGCTTCCTATGTTTATTATGGACAAATATTTGTTAATAAATTACTTTTATACCATATGATCGAGAAAAAAAACAACGGTGCCAAAGACGGCTGAGGCACAAATTACCTATAACAGATGCGAAAGAAAGCGACTGCATCGGAAACCGCTCGGCAAACCCCACACGCCTATTGAGTGGTGTAAATACACCAGTCATATCTTATTTAAAATGGGATACAAATGTGTTTATTTATAAGGAAAAAAAATGATATTTATAGTATAAAAAATTAATTTATTTAACAAAATTTAATTAAAAATGTGACAAAATAGTACCTTTCTATTGGTTCTATCGGACTTTTTTCGACTATATAAATCTTTATTTGTAAACTTTAATACATCAAATATTTTCAATCTAATAAATCATTTAATGATGTAAATAAGAGGAAATTTCTCACATGGGTGGTCAAATTCTATAGTTTTCATTATATCAAACAGCCTCTGAGAAATGTTTTCAACTCAAAATGCCTTTAATTATGTTTGACTACATCAATTAAAAGGGTCTTCAAATACATCAATGTGATATTTTTCTAAAATTTGCAAAAGAATCCGAATCTCTGGATAACTCGAAATTATTTACCCATTTAAAAGTCACGAAAGTGGAAAAATTTGTTCATTTTATTTACTGGAAATGGAAAAATTATATATATTAAATTTTGATGAGTTTTGCACTGAAGAAAACATTTAGAGGCTGTTTGATATAATGAAAACTATAGAATTTGACCACCCATGTGAGAAATTTCCTCTTATTTACATCATTAAATTATTTATTAGATTGAAAATATTTTATGCATTAAAGTTTACAAAAAATAAAGATTTATATAGTCGAAAACAGTCCGATAGAACCAATAGAAAAGTAACTATTTTGTCACATCTTTAATTAAATTTTGTTAAATAAATTAATTTTTTATACTATAAATATCTTTTTTTTCCTAATCTCCTACGAACTGATATAATATGACGAGCAATCTATTAAATTACTGTGAGATTATATGCCTCGATAACATATTGGTGCAGATTATTTTCACCCAAACAAAAAATAACCCAACTATACATTGATGCGGATTGTCTATGAACTCTTTCTGAAGGTCACAGAAACCTGAACGCGTAATTCGGTGTTCTTTCGCATCTGTTGTAGTTAATTTGTGGCTGAGGCATGCCAATCGATAATAATTTTGGCGAGGTCAGGCTCTAGACCTCATTTACTTGGTCCGTACTCTGTTTTATTTCTGAATGGCGCTTACTGCCAGTTTGCCTTATGAAGATTATAATTTATTATTATTTTGAGTAAAAATTATTTTTAAATGGTAATATGAATTTTTGAATTTATTTCAAGTACTATACGGTGTTGCCATGCTATATCTTATTTACTAAAACTTCTGTTAAAAAGATTATAATCGAAAGGTGCTAAAATCCTAAAATAAATTTACTAAAAAAAGTAACTTTATTATAGTCTCTGAAACGAATAACTTTGAATTTGACAGTTCCCGCGGGCTTTTGTAGCGATAATTTTATTAGGTTAGCAACTTGCGGCCATGCTGACGCAATGCCGTCTCTAATAGAACAGCCTCGGAGCGAGATTTATGACGTCACGCTAGTTAGATACTACGGATTAGTAAATATGTTATAGAATACATGAAAAACATAATTATTTTTCGTATTATTATTACATATTTCGTATTATTATTACATAATTATTTCGTATTGATGGTTTGTATTTTAAAAATGATATAGTTTACAGTTAATAAATACAATATATATACCTATTCATAGTAATAAATACTTTGGCAAATAAACTATGAACCATATAAATGCAGCAAATGTTTTACAGTACGGCTGAAATCATATTCCATAGTCAATGTAGGTAGTTTTAGTGTTAAGAATAATAATTTTAAAAAATATATGGGCATCTTTTGACAAGTTTATATTAGTTTATTAATTGCAGTAAACATTATGTTGTGTGTGGGGTGAATATTTTATATGTAATTTTTTTAATTATATATTTGACACTATTTTTTTCATATGACACAACACTGATGAAGGCTATAATGTTAGCCGAAACGTTTTTTTTAACCAAATAAAAATAATGAAAAACCAAATGAAAATTTGATCAGCGTTTTTCCCGAACCTAAATCCCAAGAAAATCAAAAATTTTAGAATAATTTTACATATAAAATGACAGCGATCTTTATTTCATAGCCATCGCTGACGCCCTTTTTCTATGATATTGTATTATTTGCAAATATAATTTTTCGAACATTAATAACAATACATCATTATTAGTAGATATTGAATATTTTTTGTAAAAATAAGATCGATTTTCAAACCCCAAAATTTAAAATATATATTACATTTTACCCGTTATCTTATGTACCTATTCATTATTTGTATATTGTAAAACATTTGCTGCATTTGTATGGTTCATAGTTTATTTGCCAAAGTATTTATTCCTATAAATTGGTATATTGTATTTATTAACTGTATATTATGTATATTTCATGTAAACTATATCATTTTTAAAATACAAACAAAAAATACGAGGAATAATTATGTTTTCCATGTATTCTACAACATATTTATTAATCCGTAGTATCTAACTAGCGTGACGTCATAAATCTCGCTCCGAAGCTGTTCTACTAGAGACGGTATTGGTCTGATATTTAGAAATATCAAAAGATTTTACTTTTGACAATTATGACATTTCGTGTTGATTTTTGTAAGAAGAGGAAGAACTGTCACTTGTTTTATTATTTTTATTTTCTATTTCACGAAAGTAAAAAGAGTTATCTATCTGATTCGTTCAGGCACTCAATTTAAAGAATATCAGTAATTTTTTTGATAGAGGGATTTTATATTTGCCATGTTGGTAAAAAATAACGGTCAAAATTCAAAGTTATTATTTTATAGACTATATTACTTATGTATATTTTCATAAACACCCAGTATAACAGAATATTTCCGTGAAGGAAATCTACATTATCTGATAAAGTATAAAATGCGATATAATATCTAATTTTTATTAAACGCAGCACACTATACAGGGTGGTCCGAACTGTATTCCGGAAACTTTGGCAGCATATTCTGCAGATAATAATAAGTAAAAAAGTTCGTATAAATGTATGTCCTAAAAGTAACGTCAATATTTAGATGAAAATTTGTGTCTGGGAGATTTTGACATGAGAAATTTGATTTTGATGTCAATTTGACTCCTACTTGTAGAGGACTCCTACTTGTAGAGACTTGGAATCAAAATTATCATTACCTCTCATCATTGGCATAAATTAAACATGTTGACTAAATAGTTATTAGACTGAAATCATAAATTTGAAATGTTTTTGTGCCAAAAGTTCAACAAAAACTGTTTTTTCGTCATTTTTTCCAAGAAAAAATTATGATTAATTAAAAAAAATCCCAAATTAATCATTTCAGTCAAATAACTACCTACTCAACATGTTTATCTTTTGTCAATAATGACATGTATTGACTAATTCGATTCTAAATATCTTGAGAATGGTTGCTCATAGAGATTTTTACCAAGAGACATTTTTCACTTAAAAAATCACGGAAATGAATATTTTTTCACTCAGTAGTTTTATACACAGTAATATAATTGTACAGACGAAAAGTTATTACTCTTCAAAACAGTTAAAACACATGTAGGAGGCGCCCCCTACAAATAGGAGACATATTGACATCAAAATCAAATTTTTCATGTCAAATAACTCCCATACACTAATTTTCATCTAAATATTGACGTTACTTCAATCAAAAAAATCAAAATAAATATGTAATTTCTACACCCTCTATCTCCGAAACTAAGCATTTTAGGACATAAATTTATACGAAGTTTTTTACTTATTTTTATCCGTAGAATATGCTACCGAAGTTTCCGGAATACAGTTCGGACCACCCTGTATATATTTTTTAGGTTAGATTAGATGAATTAAATTTTTTCAAATTTAATCGTGCCTGGCTGTCTAATAAATAGGCTGGGATCTCAGGTATCATAAACTATTTCTAACCTGCGCTGGGTTTACTTATTTCGCAAAAAAAAATAATTAAAAACATTTTTCCAGGTCAGATGTACGTCTACAACGAAAGCCTCCCTTGCGGCACGACTGCGCCCCATTTCCAGCCCTTCAAGGTCGGCGAAAACTTCACCGTCAGCACCAGCAAAACGAAATCCACCCGCAACCCCCTGTTCAGGTGTGTAATAACTTATAAATTTAGGTTTTTAAGGCCTTAATAAAAAACAGATGATTTTACTGACAACATCATATATTGTATAATCCTATCTATAGGGTGATTCACAGCGATAGACGTTTGTAGAGAACCTGTGATTTTGAAAATTTGGATTTTTGCATAAAGGTATTTTCTCCATCTATCTAAAATATTTTGAACGTTACGGTATTGGAGCTTCATTTGAAAAGTGGTAGAATCTTTGTTATTTTAAATAGAACACACAGTATACTATTACATTTTTTGAAACTACTTTCATATGTCATAATTTTTCTATTATATCCTATACCCATGTATATATATTTTTAAAGTAGATCAACCTAAGACGTTTATGGACTAAGACTACTAGATGGCAGGACCGGTTTCCCTACAGAAAAATATTTTTTATTACTCTGAATAACTTAAAAACGGAGAAAATAAAAATCGATAATTTTCGGACTGTGCCAATTGGTTACTAATCGACCAGATCTTGTTGTCTATTAGATATGCTATAAAAGCTGGCAATTATACAATTCGACCATTGTAAATACCCGACAAATTCTTCAAGGCCGACAAGACCGATGCTTCTCACTGATAAGAAATAAAAATGTTTGTTTAGATAATTTTCGAGGGATTTTTTCTTTCTGAATGCACATTTTAAAGTATTTTATATTCTTTGTCCCCTTGACCTATTATCCTGGTTGCACGTATGGAAGTTTTGTTTCTTCTAGTTTTAGAAAATGTTCATATTTCTTTTTTTTTTGTAGGTGTGTAAAATTAGATTAATTTATTAAGTTTAATTATAGTGTTTAGTGTAGCATGTTAGTGTAGTCTACCAAAAATAGTTTAGTAGTGTTTTTATAGTTTATTTTGAAGTTAAGTAATAGGTGAAGGGATAATTTTGTTATTTTTTCTTTTTGTTTGATAAATTAGTAAGTTTGATAATTTGTTCAGTGTAGAATACAAGAATAAGTAGTTGTGTAGTGTTTTTAAGAGATTATATTCGTTTATTTTGTAGTTGAGTAGTAGGTGAAGGGGTATTTGGGTATTTCTTCTTTTTGTTTTTCTTGTAATAATTGTAGTAGTTCTATTAAGTATTGTGATAGATACACTATATCTTCCTTCAACTTCGTTGAAAAGTGCGCTATCATATAATCTTGGTTTTCTGGTAGCAGAATATACGAAAAAAAATCTGATCAAATTTATTTGAAATTAAATTAATCTAGCCTTATTAATCAAATTAAACTAGTCAAATAATAATAATAGTTAGTTTCAAAATACTATACAGGGTAAGTTTCCTACAATGTTCTCTATGGGCATCTCGGAAACTACTGGAGATAGAGAGTCGGTTAATGGGGAAAGAATTGCAGTTTTGTGGGGTCATAAATATGCGCCTTTCGGATTTTTCGGAGAAGTTCAAGGCTTATTAGATATTTCGAAAAAAACAAATTTTGGCTATTTTAAAACTTGTCTCTAATTCCATTATAATCTACTGTATGATCGAATAAAAACGGCGTCAACGATGGCTATGAAGTGAAGATCGCTGTCATTTTATATGTAAAATTATATGGGAAATATCATTGATCGTCATTTCATAGCCATCGTTGACGCCGTTTTTATTCGATCATACGGTATTTTAGACAAAAAGTTTTCAGATAAAAGTTGTAGATAATCACATACCTAATGAGTTTGTGTTTGGTTTGGTTTAACAGCCAATTAGCATTATCATAAATTAAAAATAATGTACCAACATATCGAAATAATAATTTCTTTGTTAATATGGTTTAGAATTCTTAAAATAACAGGCAAAAATAATCCACAATTAATTTTTTTTTGAAATAGAATAAAAGTTTCGTTTACATTTCTTAATCAGCTGATCACTATTAAAGTTCGCAGAAACCCGGGGCTATATTATCACATTACTCTGAGGAAAATAACGAAAATAATCGATATTTTTGACTCCGCCGACTTTTGAAAGGTTCACGATTTGTCCTCCAGTTAGCAGCACATTTTGTCTAGTCGGTTGAACAACTTTAAGAATATATAAACAAGGCCTATACCTTTTTGTGGAAATACCCAAGCTCACCTGATGATGGGGTAGGGTCCCGAAACCGATAGTGAGAGCAGGTTGATCCACATTATGACGAACACAGCGTGGAATTAATTTCTATATTAGCAGTTCAAGGCAAGAAACTCTTATATAATTTTATTATATACCTAAAAACTGCAAGAAATTTATTTTCCATTAACCTATACCTATATCTTAAAGTTTTCAAGATAAAAAATTAAATATGTGTAGAGTTGATAAAAAACGATCTTGACTTGGTAAAATCATGAATTGAACAATTATTTTAATGTTGGCATTTGGGTTATAAGTTGACAAATCAGAAGGTTTAGGTATAGCAACATGATATTATGATATATCGTTGAAAAGCAATTTTATATTTCGATTTTTTAAGTAATAAACATAGGCTTGAATTTAATTGTTATTAATTATTTTATTGTGTTGTCAATTTTACGCATAGTTTATTGTTAATCTCAAAAACTATTGGAGATAGGTATAGGTTAGAATAATAGAAAAATTATCAGTAGTTTTTAAAAATGTAATAATATACCAGGTTTACCATTTATAATAACAAAGATGCTACCACTTTTAGTATGAAGCGACAACACTGTAACGCTGAAAACAATTTAGACAGATGGGGTAGATGCCTTTATGCAAAAATACAAATTTTCAAAAACATCCTATCGCCGGTTCTCCATAAACGTCTAACGTAGCACGGCCATGAATCACCTTATACAGGGTGAGTTTTCTACGATGTTCTCTATGGGTATCTCAGAAAGTATTGGAGATAGAGAGTCGGTTAAATGGGAAAAAATTGCAGTTTTGTGGGGTTATAAATATGCACCTTTCCGATTTTTGAAAAATCTTTTCATGGCTTACTAGATATTTAGAAAAAAAAACAAATTTCGACTATTTTAAAAATGGTCTCTAATTCCATTATAATCTATTTTAGATAAAAAGTGTTCAGATAGAAGTTGTAGATAATCATATCCTTAATGAGATTGTGTTCCCCATTTTTTTCTAAAGCCTGTTTATTTTTGACATATGACACAAACATATGTTGAAGTGAAAACCAAATCTAGCCATGACTTCATAAAAAGCGCCATTTTTAAGCTTTTCAGCGATATAAGTTATAATATGTTTTTTTTTTCGAAAAATTACTGAGTTATAGCACAGAATATCTAGCTACGCAACAGAAGCCTCGTTACATGTATAAAATTGTAGGTAGCAAAAGGAGACAGGCTTTAAAAGTCTGTCTCCAAATCAGATATTTTCATGTGGTAGTTTCGCTACTACATAATAGAGGGCAATAAATTTAAAAGAAAACAGTTTTCTACAAACAAAATTTAAAAGAATTTTGTGCAGTGTTGCCATTGTGTAATTCATATCGTAATACTTCCTGATAAAGCCTACCTTCAAATTTGCTACATCATTTAAACATATTAAAATAGATCAGAGCTGTTTTTTCAGTTTGCCATGTTAGTTGGAATTAAATCTTATGAGCTAAATTACAATCACTTCCTGACGTTTGATTGTATAATTGAATCCTGAATTTTCATTGTAATTCGGCGACAATATAATAAGTATTGTTCTACTGTATATGTATGTATTATGATACCACTTCCTGACGTTCGATTGTGTTCATACCAAGTTCATATTGTATAATCGGGAAAAAACGGCGTTAGCGATAGCTATGAAATGAATATCACTATCATTTTATATGTAAATTTATATGGGAAATGTCATCGATCGTCCTTTTCCCTGGACGCCGTTTTTTTTTCAGAAGCATATCAAGTGATACCATAATATAGTACTATATTACGATACATGGCGTTCGATTGGGCTTAAATTTGGAATACTACGTACCTTCGGTGATATTGTAATATTATGGTACCAAGGAGCATAATAAGACGTACCATAATATAGTACTATATTACGATACCATTTCCTGGCGTTCGATTGGACTTAAATTTGTTATACTACGTATCTTCGGTTACATTGTAATATGATGGTACTATGATGCATATAAAGTGGTACCTTAATATAGTACCATATTTCGATACCATTTCCTGGCGTTCGATTGAGCTCATATTTGATATATACTTGCGTATTTTTGATGACAATGCATTATTATGGTACCATGAAGCATATCAACTGGTACCATAATATAGTACTATATTACGTACATGGCGTTCGATTGGGCTTAAACTTCGGTGACATTGTAATATGATGGTACTATGATGCATATAAAGTGGTACCTTAATATAGTACCATATTACGATACCATTTCCTGGCGTTCGATTGGGCTCAAACTTGGTATACTACGTATCTTCGGTTACATTGTAATATGATTGAACTATGATGTATATAAAGTGGTACCTTAATATAGTACCATATTACGATACCATTTTATGGCGTTCGATTGTTCTTAAATTTGGTATACTACGGATCTTCGGTGACATTGCAATATTATGGTACCTTAAAGTATATCGAGTGGTACCATAATATAGTACACTATTATGATATCATTTCCTGGAGTTCGATTGGGCCCAAATTTGGTATACTTGCGTTTCTTTATAAAGATTTGTTTAATTAATAATTTTAATTTATTTTACGAATTTTAATTTATTGTTCGATGTCGTGACAGCAACTTTTATGCCGAACTAATATATTATTAATTGTACCTGTGTCACTTTTTAAAATCTACCTAGGTCTAGATAAATAACGTGGCAAACGGAAGAAATTTGTTATTATAGTATTTTTTAGTCAGTTAACATTTTTTGTACTGCATTTTAATAAATTATTTCCATTATTATTAAACTTATATTTCATTACTAACGTTCCAGCATTAATAAATAGCACTATCAATCGCCCTGTATATTATTAATTTTTAAGGTAATTAAATGTATTTTCTTAGTTAACATTATAAGGTAGTGTATATTAAAAATGTATATGTTTTGAAATAATATACTTAAAATTATTTTAATAGCCAAAGGAATAATTAATATAAGTGTATCTGACAAGAAAAGAAGAATAGAAAGAAACACATACTGCATTATACACAATAAAAAGAATGGGATGCCAATTCAAGTCTTTTGGAATCTGGCAACTGTGCATATTTAGCCGAGCTATAAGGCCGTCGACGAGCCGTCGATCCAAAACCGAAAGTTCAAAATTTCTAATTATATTCTGATTATGATATTGTCGCGCCATCTAGTATTCTATTTGTGCAATTTTAGCTCTTTCATTTCGAGTATTTTTCTGTTGCGTAGCTAGATATTCTGTGGTTATAGCCATTTCTTATCATTTTTAAACAATTTCACTTAGTTAGCCATGGAAACAAGTTCAATCGCCGTTGCTCTCAGAGATGTCAAACTGTCACATCCAAACTTTGTAAATTAATATAAACAAAAAATGTAACAATGAATTTTTCAAATGAAGAAAAACGTGTAGTAATTGTGTAAATTGTGTGTGAATTGGTTCAACTTTTTTTGACCGCACATTTACGAAGATATGTTGACCGGTGAACGTTATTTACGCTTTTTAGAGGAAGGTTTTCAAGACATGTTAGAAAAGTTAAATTTAGAGACTCGCGCATCAATAGAGTGGTTCCTACATGACTTTTTTTATGACACAACCCCCCATAATGAAAGAAACGTTAAAAATTATTTCTCCTAACCTATCCATTTTAGACTTTTTTATGCGGTATGTTTAACAACAAGGTTTACAAAAAAACTTATGAATTAAGAGAGGCACTCGAAGAGGCGCTATGGGAGAAGTTTAAAACAGCTAGTAATTCAGTTTTAAAAAGATGCATTTATGCATCTTTTTAAAACTGAATTATGCAACGTATTTGAAACACTGAAAGAATGTGAAACACAAAAAAAAACTGAAAGAATGCAAATATATTATAATGGAATTAGGAACCATTTTTAATATAGTCGAATTTTTTTTTGAATCGATATCTAGTAAGCCATGACCTTTTTCAAAAATCTGAAAGGCGCATATCTAGGACCCCACAAAACTGCAATTCTTTCCCCATTTAACCGACTCTCTATCTCCAGTAGTTTCCAAGATACCCATAGAGAACATCGTAGAAAACTCACCCTATATACTATGTTACAGGTGGTGCCTGGGCAACGGCGCGGCCATCAACGACCTCGCCTTCAGCCCGAGCGGCACGCAGCTGGCCGTCGTGACGCAGGACGGCCTGTTGCGCGTCTTCCAGTACGACACCATGGAGCTGTTGGGCGTGGCGCGTTCCTACTTCGGCGGCCTGTTGTGCGTGGCGTGGTCGGGAGACGGCAGACTCATAGCGGTGGGCGGCGAGGACGATCTGGTCACCGTGTACTCGAACGAGCAGAAGAGAGTGATCGCGCGCGCGCAAGGACACCGGTCGTGGGTGGGGGCGGTCGCCTTCGATTGGTACTTGGAGGGGGAGGCGTGTTACAGGATAGGGTCGGTGGGGCACGATACGCAGCTCTGTTTGTGGGAGTTGCCCGAGGATAATTTAGTGCCACCCAGGTTGGTATTTAGCGTAGTTGCCAGATTTAGGGAATTTTATCTAGATTTAGGGAAAGTCAGGGTTGTGATAACAAAATTTAGTTATAATTGCTTTTAAAATTTTGCCAAATTTGATTTGATTTCTTATAGGCTTGGTGCATTCTCCGTCGGTGCTGCCACCATCGGAGAATATTGTAAAAAATCGGTATATACAAATACGCGGGTTTAAATAGCGAGTATACAATAAAAAAATTATATAATTATCCTAAAAGTGTTAAGAAGTTTAATTTGTGAAAATTCTAAAAAAATAAAAAAGTAAATATTTTGATATCTTCAGAAGGTCTAACTTCTATTATAATTTATTATTCCAGTTAAAAAAACTTTTTAGATGAGTTCAACTACGGTAGCGAGCATAGTTTTAATCACCGGTTTTGCTAGTGGGACCTAATTGGGGCTACTTCTGCTATAACGAAATTTTTGAAAGGTACATAATTCTAATTTTAGAAGATGTTCATAAAACATTTAATCACTAGTTGACTAAAAAAGTATACCATTAATATTGCAAATTATATTTTATCCTCTCATAGTATGTATATGTCTATTTAGTTTTTTGATTATGTAACGAGCACTTTGTTACTAAATTATGAAGGTATAACGTGTTGTTTCGGGAGAGTTAAATATCCGGGAAAGTTGAGTTATTGAATGTTATTGCCCCTTAACAGCGTCCCAATTACGCTCCCCTTTACGCGTTAACATTTTTTCGGCAATTTTATTAACATTTGAAATTGTCACAACACAACACGACGTCTAGTTCGAATTAGTAGTGGGAACTATCGAATGAATACTATCGAAACATTCGATAGTTGCAATTCATTCGAATAATTCGATAGCTAGTAAAAAAACATTCGTTGAAAACTATTCGAATAAAAATTATCGAATAGATGCGTCATCTGCCTTGAAATATTGTATTCTAGTAATTCGGCAGCAAAAACCATTCATTTATAAAATTCATTCATTTATGAAATTCATTTATTCGTCAGGATCGATTATAATAAAATATTAACTGGATTTTAGTTGTCGCCCGGCGACGTAGGTTTCTTTCCGAGAAACCCGACAGCGGTCGGTGGCAATGCTATGAAAGAAGCCGGCATCTTTGATTTTTTGCGGAGTCATATAAAGATAAGGACACATTATTTTTTTTATCGAGGTGCTAGTATTTACACAGAAAATACATTATGTAGGGCGCTGTTGCCATATATTGGTATTAATTGTTTTTAAGCAAAGACTGGTTTAATAAAAATAATAATAACAGTAATAATTTGTTATACTTATTAACAACAAAACTTAAAATAATTTAATATAAACATTTTTTTTACGTAGTAGTAACATATAAACAACAAATTAGATGTCAAAATTATTTATATTAGATCCTATTTAAAAATAATATAGTCTTTAAATTTTTTGGCAACGTTGGTTTATTAAATAATAATAATTACAGAACTAATTTGTTATATTAACAACAAACTTTAAAATCATGAAATATAAACATTTATTAATTTTCTAAGCATGCAGTGTAATGGAAGGAAAATATAAATAAAAAATTAGAAATCAAAATTATTTATATTAGGTACTTTATATTACTATTTAAAAATAATATTTACTTTTACTGGCATTTACTTTAAAAAATAAATGAAATATTTCTTCGCAAAAAAACTACATGTAAGAGAATTAGCATAAACAAAATACAAACACCGTTAACTTTTTTTTAAATTGGCACGTGTAAAACTTTCAATTTAATTTTCACACCCCATAGTTTGAGTTCGATAACCATTAACTTAACCACATTACTTAAATATGATTATTAAGTTCAACTAATTCATATTATTAAAACATCTAAAATACAAATATGTATTTTTAAAATTAATTCTAAGTTCATCTCATCTCCCTTAAAAATTGCTACTTCTCAAAATTTCCCATTAAAAAATAGATCATATATACCATATAAAATAAAATAATTGGAAGATCGGGCTACGGAAAATCACACAAATTTTCGGAAAAATTTTGACACCTGCACACGCACACAATCGTCAATTAAAAAAAACTACTATTTTAGTATTTTAAATATTTTAATAAACGCAAAAATACCACAGTATTTATAAGGTGAAGTTATAAAAATTTGGAAGAACTAATAATGCACTGACGTACACAAAAATCAAACGAATACTAAATTTCATTTATCAAAAGCATTCGATAGTCGTGGCTCAACGATAACCTTGCACGGCGAGGTTGTCACATATGCTTTAGTATACAAATGAATGAATGATTTTATTCGAATAAAACCATTCGATAGTTAAAATCATTCATTCAGTAACCATTCGATAGTCTAATTCATTCGATAGTTCCCATCGCTAGTTCGAATACTTTTTCACTTATTTTTTACTACACGAGACAGCGTTCCATCACACAAACCTCGTACCTGAGTTTTATAGTCTCAAATAACTGCACTAGCAAAACACTAAAATACTTAAATATTATGATAAAACCACGATTTCAATATTATTTTAATGCGATCAACATGACAGCGGCGTGAAATACATACTTTTAATTTCTGATTTTTTCCGTTGAAGCGCTGCGGTCGGAATTTGTTGGAATCAACTGAAATGCACCAAGTCTATAGTATATTTTTAGAAAGCTCCATAACAAGACAAATAAAATAAAAACTTAATATACAAGATGTCCCATTTAGAAAAGATATAAGTTTGTCCCATTTAATAAACATGAGTCATATTTTGAAAATGACACCCTTCAGCGGAAAACTAGTTACGCCACTGGATTCTACGTGAAAAGCTCTACGGAACGCAATTTTCACCTTTCCAATGAGTTACAGGATAACCGAGATACGAAAGTTAGAAGTGTTAGGACAAATCTGTATGTAACATCTTTGGTGTCATAAAAAAGTAACACAGTGATGTGAAAACCGCATCTTTGTATCTCTACTCATGAACGAGAATCCCCATAAAACACGAAACTGGGACACCCTGTACATTAATTTTGATTTTCTTTATTATTTTGTATTTAACAATACTGAGAGTAATTTTTTTAAAGGATAGATCCATTAATTGTTGCTATTTCTGTGTTTAATAAATGTATCATTATTATTTTGTTGTAGACCACGCGTTAAGCGGAGATCTGACCCCCTCCAGCTGGTGGGAACCCCCGCCTGCCCCCGTCTGGACGAGTGCCCCATCCTGGAGCCCCTGATCTGTAAGAAGATCGCCCACGAGCGCCTTACCTGCCTCATCTTCAGGCCGGAGTGCTTCATCACCGCCTGTCAGGACGGCTACGTGTACACGTGGTCGCGACCTTCCTCTAGGACGCCCACATAGCAAGAGGAGACCGACCAAACCGCCACCTAGCGCCGGTTTACTTTGATATGGTGATTTTTCGTTACGTTCCTGAGCCCTGATTCGAAACGTTGCATAGTTCAGACTTGGGTAGGGTTTCCATACAAGTTTTTTATTACAGCGCTTGGCTTAAGTCAATCTCCACCTTAACGAGAAAATATGTTGACAGTAACGACAGATGTTGTCTGTCATTTTAATTGACAAGTACAGGGTGGGTCAAATTGGACGCTTTTAAAAGGTCCGTTTGATTAGTTCGAAAACATAGCAAAATAAGCGTTCGGCATTTAACGTTTTATTTAAAACTGGCTAGGTATTTTTACACAAATGAAAAAGGAAATTAAAGATGAAGGATTAGACTATATCCGTATTGTAGCACATTTTTAGACAACTTCTTTATTTTTAAGGTTTTGATGGTCAAACATCAACAAAATATTTCTTATGTTTGGATTAAATTTTCTCGAAAATAAAGACATAATTTAAAATTCTGTTACAATACGGATATACACACACCGGAAAAGTCAAAGGGATATTACAATTTTATCCAGCCATCGTCAGTAATTTTATTATTTGCATTTCTGATATAATAAAATTAAAATAAACAAATAGTTTACAGGACGGACGTATTGGAAATAAAAATGCGAAATTTACCGAATTTTTCAAATTTACCTTGATTTTTATTGAACTCAAAAAAATACACACATTTTTTTTTATTCTAAACTGCGAATTAAAAAAAAAAGATAAAACCATTTTTATTTAATAAAGGGTATGGCCTCCTCTGCTGTTCATTACAGCCCTACATCGTCTCTGCATGCTCCTGATCAGGTTGTCGATCTCTTCTTGAGGTACAGCCTGCCACGCTGCATTCACGGCCCGAACCAGATCCCTACGAGTTTCACGAGGCATACCCATTCTCAAAATTCTTCTTTGGACCGCGTCCCATACGTGCTCGCTAGGATTGAGGTCAGGAGATTGTGCCGGCCAGGGTAAGATGTTTAATTGATGAGCATTGATAAACACAATTGTCATGCATGAGAATGAAGTTTCTCCCAAAATCATTGGCATATGGTAACACGACAGGCTCAAGAATTAAATCACGATATGTGATTCCTGTGAGAAACATTTTAAGAAAAACGAGATCGGTTTTTCGGCCTAACTGATTCCTCCCCAGACCATAACTGTTCCACCTTGATAAGGGTGCACTTCCTGAACATGATCCAACCGAATAAGATTTCCCGGTTCTCTCCATACCCTAAGCCTTCTCGAATCCGGATAAATTCCAAAGCGTGACTCATCCGTGAAGAGAACATTGGCCCATTGTTCATTCGACCACTGAACATGATCTTGAGCCCACAAATATCGTACCTCTCGATTTCCTCTCGTTAAGGGTTGAGCTCTCCAGGGGCGTCTGCTTCTTAAGTTGACCTCTCTCAATCTATTGCGAACAGTGTCAGGACTAACGGTTACATTATGTGTTTCCTGGAGAATTAAACTAAGCTCAGCTGCTGTAAGATTGTCGGTCGGCGTCGAGCATTTAATTGTACAAAAAATGATCTTGCTGAGGGGTAGTAATGCGATGTCGCCTTGTGTGCCTTTCAGCAACATCACCACTTTCACGGTAGCGTGCGCAATCAATGCGCGTGTGTAATCGCGATATTACACTTTGCGTTGTATTTAATGCTCTAGCTACGTCGATTTGGGGCATTCCAGCTTCAAGCATACCCATATCCCTTAGCATTTCGTCTCTGTTAAGATGTCTACGCTCCATAATGTCGTTTAATACTAAACAGAGTTATTTGTATGAATTCTGGCCAGTTATCATAAAAACATAGCCAGTACAGGTTAAATTCGAACAATTGATGCTAGGTGCTTTTTATACATTTGACAAAAACACTTCTGCAAATATCCGAAATTTAGAAATAACTAGTGTGACTACTTCGTTTCAATCGAAGTAGAAAGAATCGGCCTACAAATATGTGGTTGTTTATTCAAAACATTTATTTTTAACTTTAATAAAATGATATCCCTAGATTTTTCCGGTGTGTGTAGATTGAAATTTTGTGATTACGGTGATATATAATTTATATGGTTTTGCAACAAATTACTCGCTATTTTATGGCAAATGCTGAAGCTCTGCAAACCTTAATCAAGTCTTAATCAAAGCACGTGTGTATGGAATTTTGGGTGTGGCTTAAAGGTTGTCGCCCACTAGACCGCGGCGCGACGCGGCGCGGCGCCATGTGGAAATTTCTTTTGTCTGCTTGCCATGTATTTAAATGGACCAACGCACATTAGAGCGCGCAGCGCAGAAGCGCGCCGCGGGATTTCCGTCAAGAAGTCGGAAGACTTCTCTAGCAACTTTTTTCCGTCTCCCGCGTTTTGGCGCGTTGCAGTGTGCGTACTCACAAGGGAAATAATTTTGCATTCGAGTCTTTTCAGTTGGTTTTTTGGACTAGGAACTAGTGGTACGTATCAATGGTAGAATTGCATTTTGAAAGGTAAATTAGGCAAACAGATTTTTAAAAAGGAATATATTTTTTTTAGTTTTCCCTCACTAGAGACAGAGGGACGAAATGTTTTTCTATCAAAGATTTAATATAATTGAGGGGTGTAGAAAGAAGCAAAACCGGCAATCTCCACTTTTGGAGAAAAGTGACAATCTCCAATTTTTAAATTCTAATTACCTAAATATATAAAAAAGATTACGGTTTTTTCATCACATAACTAATATAAGAATATATAAACAAGGCTAATATACACATCAGAATAAATAAGAATTATCAAAAGTCGTTAGCTATAAGCGATTCGTTATTGCATCATTAGTAATTTGTCTCTTATGTAAAAATATGATGAGTAGAGATACCCGGTGTTATGCTTCTAAAACCCTTAATTGAGGAGTTCGTAAAATGTTTCCTTTACATTTTGTAATACTGAAAAAAATGCTCTTGTCTTTTATTAAATAAGGAAAAAGATGGTAAAATTCTCCAAACTTCCTTTTTTTGTTAATCTTATGAGTCCAAACTTTCCTTTTCTTCTTCACCTGCTCTTCCTCCGTGTTAGAAGAGCACAAAAATACGCCTCGTCCGTACATGAACTCATTGCTTTAAAAACTAAACTACAGTAAGTAAAAAACACTTCGACTAACTAAATAGCGTTTCCGCGTTTCAAAAGCGCGCTATAGTGGGCGCAGTCCCTTCGCAGCCGGAAAAAAATCTCTTCCCAGCGCCGCGCCGCGCCGCGTTCTAGTGGGCGACAACCTTAACACGACAGGATCGGGCTAAGTCTAAGATTTCTGAAATATAATATATATTTTCTTCTGCCACACATTACATCATTAGTTATCTTAAACTTAAAACATTTTGATATTCGAAAAATAATGACGTTACAAGACCATGTTCAGAGGAAAATCATAGGGAAGGCATCGTAATTTTGGATTTACATGTTGATTTCGACAGTGAAAAAGGTTAAGAATCAGGGCTCTGACTTAAGTTGTTTTTAGTTTTTAGGTAGCGTTTGTTTCGAAAGTTACAGGGTCGGTATCAATACTGTTTTTTTATAGGTATGATATATAATAGTAGTTAAAATGACCTAAATGATTTTAGAATCTATTCTGGTAAATTAATTTATTTAATATAATTTTTTTGGGTCATAAACAAATTAAATTTTATTATAACCGTCTTTTTGAAGACTTGCCAAAAACGATTAGGTATAATTTGTTGTTATTTTTGTTTTAGTTACCTTAGTTATACATACAACATTACTAAAATGTTAATAATAAGTGTGGGAAATTAAATTATATTTTTAACTATCAAGTCTGATCAACTTTTTGATCGCACGGTATATGATTATAAATAAACATAATTAAGTGATCTCTGGACTATAAGTTTTTTAAAGAGAAGTTTTTTTTGAAAGAAGTTAAAAATTATTTTCTTAACAATATTAAGAAATATTTTGCTGTATCATAATTTCAAGTGTAACGGTAAAATAAATTATATTTGTCAATTCCAGGGCACCCTTAATTTAATCTCAATCATACGGTATATACCGGGTGTTTCAATATTACTATATGTAGCAAATATACTTATGTTCTTTGTATAAGCGGTAGTACTAGCCTGGTACAATCTTAGGTTCTATAAACTTCGTGTATAAAGCTATGCCATAAGTTGTTACACACAACTTTGTTTCTTTGAATTTTTCTACTTATTTCTTTCTGGAACATGGTTAAAGCGTTATACACCTTCCTCAATCTCTTTATTCAAAGTGACTATACAGGGTGTTTCAAAACAAATGCGAAAAACTTTAGAGGGTGATTCCTTGTTCAAAATAAAGGGTAGTTTGCTTTATAAACGTTGGGTCAAAACTCAACCATTAGGGAGATATCGCGGTAAAAAGATGGCGGAAAAATAATGTTTTTATTTTTTATCTTGAAAACGAAAAGAGATAGACTAATGAAATTTTATGGAAGCATTACTGTTATGAAAACACACTTTCAGGTAATTTTTTTACTTTATTAAAATGAGTGGAAGGGGTTGAAATAAACTACCCCTATCATTCTTGTTATCGAAATTTAAAGAAAAATCTTATCAAACACATGCAAATGCTTTAATTTGGATAGTTTGGTTTGTTTAGAAACTTTTTTACCTCTTGTGTTTTTTTGATAAAACTCACCGATTGGAAATTAAAAAATAAAATGTAAAGCATTACATGTCAGGACAAAAAACATTTTTAGATTAAGAATCTAGTGATAATAACGATAATAATCATCTGAATAATAACGCGTATTTACAGTAAGTAATGTCAAATAAAAATAATAGTAGAGACATCCTAAAGTAACAGCGGCCGACTAGATTTTTCTAAAAAAATTACAGCAGCCCACTAGATTCTTTATGTCAGAAAATGTTTTTGTCCTGACATGTAATGCTTTACATTTTATTTTTAATTTCAAATCGGTGAGTTTTGCCTAAGAAAGATAAAAAAAGTTTGTAAACAAGCTAAACTATCAAGTATTTTATGTGTTGATACTTTTTCTTTAAACTCGTTAACTGCGATGAGGCCTCATTTAAAGAGGCAAGTACCGAAAGGCTGTGTTTTCATAACTTCCATAAAATCTTTCGTTTTCAGGCAAGAAAAACATCCCTTGCCACACAATATCTCTAATGGTGACTTTTGACACAACGTTTAACAAGCACGGCTGAGCAGGCCACTAGTTTCGCATTTAGCTTCACCAATCTGTCCCCAGTTGTCATTATAAGAGGAAAAACTTTTTTATTATTGATATTTTGAGAAAAATGCATTCTTCATAAAAATTTTTGCTTGTTCTAAAACGGTTAATTTCGTTTA